TGCCCTGTATGTCACACCTCGTGACATACACTGATCACAACTGATCGACAGTGTACAATACAGTACACATGGCTGACTCTGGAACGTGAACAGCCGGGCGAGGTCACTGGGCACCATACAACGCAACATCGACTGCACCTCCTGTCCGTCGCCGACCTGCTCTGACCATCCACCCCGTCGCTTCCCCACCCATCGCCCATGCGATTCATCCTCCGCCGTGTCATCCCATCTATCACCCACAGCCTCCCATGCCTCGCCCGCATTGATCAACGTGGGCTCCTCCAGCCCGCGGCTAATGGGTATAGCCAACTGGTCAATCGGGCGACGGCTTCTGCGCGACCTCGCAAGCAGACGGGGAGCGTGAAGACGCCGGGAGAGAGAACAGGTACAGCATTAGCGATACTCAGCGGGATGGTGGGCAAGGCACACACGTACACATTGATGTGGTCGGCCTCCGGCAATTTGGAGATCTCGTGGGGTTTTGATCCCGGCGCGACACCGACGTGCTGGCCTTCATTCGATCCTGATACAGCATCCCCGAGTTGTGGGTGAACTAGAAAAACTGCAACCCCTGTCGGCAGCCAGACGACGGCTTGTTCGCAAGAGTTAGCGGGTACAGTGCAGTTTGCACTCGGTGACGCACTGCCATCTGTACCCGCTCGCCGCCATTTGTACCCACCGACGTACTGTTTGTGCTGGTTGACGCGTCGCCGTTCGCACTCACCGACGTGCCGTTCATACTGGTTGACGTGCCATTCGACACGCTCTGACGAAAGCCGGTCTGAGGTGGGTAGTAGATTAATGCGTGTGCATAGATAATCAAATCAGGCATGCTTACCTGATTGGTTTCACTCCTGAATGCATCTCGGAGTGTCCACCGTTGTCTTCCGTACAGAGTTGAACGTTGAACATGAAAGCCGGACGGTAGAGTTACAGTAGCATGCGGAAGTGAGGCGAGCCTTGCGGGCGCCCGTAAACTCAACGTTTGTACCTATTTGTTGCCTCACCGCATTGGGCAACCCCGATGTGCTCGGGCTGTTCCTGGCCAATCAGAACACGTTTAACGGTCCTACTTAGGCCTGCAACATACCTGTGATTTGTGATTGGGACGTTTCCGCACCGTGTATGCATGTATTGTATGCTGGAACGGGGATTAGATACATGTTTAGTAGCATTTACGACAGCAGATGAGATGTAGGACAACATTCTCGTGTTCAATAAGGATGTTTAGTGTACTGTCCTGGTTTTCAGTCGAGTCTCGAGTCGTTAGTAATGGGTGTTCAGCCGAGTCTCGAGTCGTAATGAGTGTTGCGGCGCGATACATACTGGACTCGGTGATAACAGTTTCATTGTATACATAGGTTATATTCTGCCATTACAGTTCATTGAACTTTCAACATTGCCCACAAACACGATGTTTTCAAATTAAACAAAGCAAACGAACGGATCTATTCTATGTCTTGCGTGCGCCCCGGCCCTGCCCACCGTCGCGGTCACCCACTTCTCGCTCATGCGCCCACCTTGCGTTCAGTGACCGTGCTTGCGTGCTAGGCATTCGCCCTGCACGCTCGCGGTCGCCGTGCGTGTGGTGCTAGTCCGCGCCCTATGCTCGCCTGCCCTCTCGCCCTCGCCCTCTCACCCACTTGTCCTCTCGCCCGTCCGCCCTCCCAGTTTCCCGCTCACCTGCTCGTCCGTCTACCCACCCGCTCGTCTGCTTGTCAACGCATCCGTCTGCTCACCCACTGGTCCACCCGCCGCTCGTCCACCCACCGCTCGTCCACCCGCCGCTCATCCACCCGCCGCTCGTCCACCTGCCGCTCGTCCACTCGCCCGCCCGCCCTCTCCGAGTCGTCCATCTGCCCGCCCGCCCGCTCGTCCACCCGCCGCTCGTCCACCCGCCGCTCGTCCACCCGCCCACTCATCCGTCCGGCCCCCTGCTCTTCAAGTTCATCTGCTCGCGCGCCTGCGTTTGTCGGCTGCGTCTGCGTGCTGGGCATTTGCTCAGCGCGCTCGCGGTGGGCATGTGCTGTTGCCTGCCCGTCTGCCTATTCTCCTACCTATCCGGGTGCTCACCCGTCCGCTTACCTGTCCATCAGCCTGCAGCGCGCGCGCGTATCCGCCTGCCCGCCCGCCCGCTCACGCGCTCGCGCTCGCACCCGTACCCGTGGTCCGCCAGTCGGTTGCGTTTGCACACGAGGCATTAGCCCTGCGTACTCGCGGTCGACGCGCGTGTCGTGCTGCGCATCGCCGCGTCCTGTGGCTACAGTCAGCTCCGTTGCTCGTGTGCGTTTGCACTCACTTCGAAGCCCGATCTATGCTGACCGTCCCGTTGTCCGTTCGTTGTCGTACGCGCTATGCTGTAACGATGTCAGTGACCGACAGGCACACAGGATGGTGGAGGTCGCAAACAGCGGGCGAAACCGCTCGCCGCTCGCTCGGCTCGTTGCAGGCTTCCGGGATTGGCCGAAATCGACGCCACACAGTGGGCAGGGCGGCGGCGCAGGGGATTCGAGATCGTACCTGATCTCAGATGCGCTGACCCCGATGTCCATCCATATGGGGTATCCTCGCATCGCGCGCCAGTGGTACCGCCCGCCGGGGACGAAGGGGCCGGACTGCCCCGGGGTAGCTGCCAAAACGGGTAACGACCGACGGCGCCTCGTTCATACATGACGGCGCCTCGCTTTTACATGAGCGAGTGGCAGCTCATGTATGAAAACAGCTGCAGGTAAGTACTGGAGTTTATGTATGATCACTCCGTGCTCACTACAAGGATCTTATACAAACTTATGCCTATATGGCCTGGCTCAACGCTCACAGCGTCCACCATCCCGCAGCTGCAGCAGCCCCGTCGCAGCCCCGCCATCACTGTCCGTCCGAGGTCTGCCCGGAACGAAGGGACCCGCCAGCTGGCGGGTTGAAGCACGGCGGCTTAGCCCGCGAGGACGTCTGCCAGGTCGACATGGGAGTCGACATAGGGTGTCGGCGCGACGAATCCCTGCGGAACGTTGGCAGGATATCGCTTCTAAGCGTGGATATGTAAGTGCATTCTCTGCGTGTCCTTACGCAAAGGTGACCTCTACGCAGGAGACCGTCGTCGATGGCGGATTCATCGCCACCCGAAAGCGACCCACAGGTCCAAGGCGCCGACCACCTCCGTTTCACGCCCTCGACCGTGGACGGGACAGTGTCAGCGATCGCAGCGTAGCGGGTGGGTCGTTGGCGCAGCTAAGCAGCAGAAGACGAGGGCGGCGAGCTCCAATTCGCGCGGCCGGCGGAGCGGTACGTTAGGAGGGCCGTGCCCGGGCGCGAAGAGGTGCGCGGCGTGAAATGTCCATATCATTCGATACTAACCTGTCGTCCTTGATGGACAGCAAATGCCTTACCATGTACTTGCCGCGCCGAATGCGCTGGCAAAGACAACGCTTGGCGCGAAGACACTCGAAATGCAGTCCACGCCTCGCCCGCCCGTCCGTCGCCCCCGTCTCGTCCCGGTCGTCCGTTTTAGTTTCGACCATGCGTTGATGACCGGGAGGTGAGCTCCCGCTCTCGAAGAGCGGTAGAGCGCCCTTACTCAATCCTCGAACCGCCGTCCGATATACCCGTCACGTTCCGTCCGGTTGAATGCGTCACGGCGCGGACCGTGTACACTGAACTCCTTGGTAGCTTCTGCGGCCGCGTCACGACCGTGCAGCCGTTGTCTTTGGACAGCAATGATTTAATACGACCACTCGGCATGACCTGACCTACTGGTCGGCAGCTGGATAGGGCTGAGTTGGTTAGTGACGATGTCTTAGCACCCTCGTACCCCACGTAGCCTTCGTTGGGTATGGGCCCTGGTGAGGCATCCTCCGTTTGAGAAATGGAGCAGTATTGTAGTGCACTGGCTATCATACGGCTCAGGTTGGCTCCGCCGCGCTTCACACCCCCTAGGCACCCAGGCAATCCAGGTGAAGGGTCCATTCAGCCAGTAGAACGCGTACTTTGCGCTCTCCAGCCACGCGGACGTGGCAACAATGCGCTCTCGACCCTAGCGACCTGTCCAGGTGAATGTCTTTCACTTACCGTCGCGTCGCCGTGTCGCCTGACACCGGTTTCACTTCGACAAAACAAGGGGAACAATGGGTCTTGGCAATTCGGCGACCGCCCAGCCACGTTCCTCTTCATCTGCTGCCACGTTTGGCCAATGGGCGTCTCCCTTCGCGCAGTGGGTCAGCTCGCGATCGGCCACTTCCTCAAAATGCTGCTGCATTGTTCTACCCATTCTGGTCGCGTCACAACGGGCACTTGCACGCGGAAGGTGTCTATTCTTCGGATACCGCCCGTTCAGGCGTGAAGTGATTATGGTCGCTGTCGCCATAGTTCTACCCATTCTGGTCGCGTCACAACGGGCACTTGCACGCGGAAGGTGTCTATTCTTCGGATACCGCCCGTTCAGGCGTGAAGTGATTATGGTCGCTGTTGCCATAAAGTCGTCGACTTTCTGCATTCGAGTCTCACAACCCTTGATTACTGGGCCCTGTTGAACTTTCTGTCCCGAGTCATGTTCGAACCGAAGAAACCTGTAGACTTCGAGATCATCAACACACCTGCTCCTGCGATCGAACTGGAGATAGATGTACGTTGGGTCCTTCGTATATCCTAAGTATTAACCACTTACATGCACTTTCAGACCCCGGACAACATGCGACCGCACTTCGTGGTTTTGCGACATCGATACCTCCCCCGCACACCTTGCGTTGCAAAGTTTGTAAAGGACCTTCTGAGCCCCCGTCTTCGACTCACTTCCCTTATAGCTACGCCAACGCTGCCGCGCAGCGGATGGGCCAAATTCGCGGCTCAACTGGCTTTCAGTACACTCTCCTCGGGGCCTCGGTATGTGGCTATTGCGTGGATATATCAGCTCACTAAGTCGGCTTTCTGAACAGTTTAAGGAGCCTTCGAACGGCCCCAGTGGCAAGTCTGCGGTTTGCCCTCCAGTCTCACAAGATGGCCCTGCGCTTCACGAGAAACGAGCTATGACACCAAGTGGTACAACAGGGTATGTCCCGAGCTCCATATCTATGCCGCCCGCTGCTGAAGGGTTGAGCATCCAGCAACGAAGGCGACGCTCATGCTCGCGAAGGCACTCCGTCCCCTGATGACTCGCTACCGACACCTGCGCTGCCCCGCGGATCCGTTCTTCCCCCCGGAGTTCAGTATTTTGAACGCAGCATGTACAGGCGTACCGAAAAAGTGTGCTGGTACCAGTCCTCCGGCGCGAAGCTGATCGAGGCGCCCCCGGACAAGCTGGCAGCCCAAGAAGGGAGTATCTACATCCATGACCGTGGCGACAAGGAAGATCAGCAGATATGGCTGTGGACCGACGGCAATTGGGTCGCCGCATCGCCCAATTGTGCCCACCCGTCCCTCAGCGATTACAGATTAAGATTCACGGCCAACGGTGAGCCGCGGTGGGTCACAGCAAAGACGATTACGACGTACCAAGGTCGTCAGAAGAAGCGCCTGCGGGAGCAGCCCGTGATCGACCCGCCCTGACCACAGCCATGGACGTACTCTTCGCTTTCGCACCCAGATTGCGTTGTAGGCCTTCCTGTCCATGTACTCCTTTAGATCCCCCCTTCCGTCTGGTATGCCTTCCGTGCTCTCATCCGTTTGTTACGCCCTCCATGCTCCCCTCCGTCTGTTATGCCCCTCCATTGCCTAGTTTATGGTACTCTTTGTTGTAATCCTCCGCCATACAATTACATTCTCGCGACGGCATACGAGTGATTATGCGAGCTTGGCGCGATCCCATGTGAAGCGGAGAAGCGGACCTTAACGGAAGTCGTGCGTAACATGTGGCAGAAACGAGGATGCGCACTGATCTACATCAAGCGCTGCGGCGTCACCAGAGACCCCCTTCTCTTTCAGCGACATTCCCTTTCATCTCGAGTGGCTAACGGAAGGTACAATATGCTCTACGTTTTTGCTGTAAGTACCCTGACTCTGCTCATTGCTGAAGGTCTGAAATTCTCCATAGCGCTGCCTTGTATATTTCATTCTTATCGCCGTACTGTTTGTGGGCGCAGAAATTCTGCTGTGGCACGGATCACCCAAACCGCATATTCGCGCTCACGTCGATGGGAACGCCATCGCGGGCTCGAGTCAGCATACCATCCTGCAGTCTTTGTACACCAATACCAGCAGACGCGCTGTCTGCTCGTTGAGGCCACTCGACCGCCTGAACAAAGAATGCCGCCTTCATCCACCCCCGTTCTCCAAAGGGACATTCGTGGCATACTATCAACTGGTCATAGACGTTCAAGAGGAGTGGTTGAATGGTCTAGCGGCCCAGGTGCGTAACAGAGCTGTCAGACGACTCATTGGATAACCTTGCTGTGCAGGTGAGGGGCAGGTATGAGCTCGCACTAGCGATCTTTACCGCAACGAAGCACATTTACCACTCGAGGGTCGGCTTTATCCACACCGATGGCCACTCGAATGGAACCCAAGCGTTGTCTGCCCCAGTGGCTGCAGTTATCGAGAGTGCAGACACAGCGATCATGAAGCTAGTCGGACTGACTGTTGACATCGAGGCGTTGCTTCGCGGGTACGCCTATTCCCTACAGTCTATTAGTGGGACGTGACAATGCTTATGGCTCGCTAGAACCATTGGACTACGATCCCTGCACATCCGCTTGCTGGCATCAATCCGCGATCATGTCGACTCCTCCGCTTCCCGGGTTCCGTACTTCTTTGTCTTTGACCTCGACGTGGATAGAGTCCTGTCCAACGTCTTCTGGTCTACCTACGACGCTCTCACCCGGCCAGGAGACCAACTCCTGCATGACGGGGAGCTCGTCTTATCTTCCTTAGGCGACCTCGCCATGGACCTCGAGCGGCTGATGAACTCGACCATGGATCACTGCGGTGATGCAGCCCCGCCGAAACGGCCGAGCATTATGGCCGGTCCCTTCCCTACGCTGCCATCACCTGTGGCATTTCGCCAGCGCGCCAACTGCCAGCACATGGCGCAAACCATCACCCTTTCCATGGTGGAGATTCAGCGCGGTGTAGAGGACGTCCTAGGCTCTTGCTGTTCGTGCATGAGGTGGAGAACCTGTACGAGATGGTGAACGCCGTAGATGCTCGTCTACGGGCTGGTGGAGCCCTCGAACGCTCGTTCCAGGATTTACTAGAGGATCTCGTTGATGGTACACCCGCACTTCATGCCACCAACGATAACGTGCGCCGACTACATGCCCAGTACGCTTTCCTAACCGCTCGTCCTCTGTTCTTTTAAATACGTATGCTGTACTGGTGAATCTTTCCTACTTCACGGTTCATTGGCTTGGCTTCGTCGTGTTGATCACTCATTGAACCTTCCTCCTCTGTCTTGTCATATATGTCACGTTTTCATCATTGTATATATGTAATTTGCTCCGGCTAGACATCGCACCATTGGAGTTCGACCCGTCTGTATGCGCCCACGCGCCCAGCATGCCACGGTCGTGCCTACAGATACCTCCACTTCCACCGGCTTGGCTCGCGCATATTGACAAAACCCGACGCGGACTGAGCCGCTCCGAGAGGCCCGCCGGGTGGGCAACTCGAGGCCCTAGAACCATGCATAGGCGGAAGGAAGCCTGAGGAAAGAAGCGGGGCTCGAGGGAGTCGCAGTTCTGGGCGACGCTGAGGGCGAGTATGCTCGGTCTCTAGTCGCGTCCTCGGCTGGCCGGTGGCTGGGAGCAGGCCTTCCAAGGGAGGTCACGAATCTGCAGTATGTAGTACTACGGCGCGGGCGAGCAGGCGCCGCAGGTCAGTACTTCAGTGTGCGACCCAAATTGAACCTACTCCGACCCGCGCGCCGTCAGGCGATGGATCAATCGATCATGCGTGGATCGGGATCCGGTGCATGCGCCTCCTCCTCCCTTTCTTGGACTTAGGTGGCGCTGTTAAACGCCCACACTTGTCCGCCTCAGCACGATGGCCTGGCTTACCCCGTCTCTCGCCCTCCGCTCCCGCAGCCCTACATGCGGACTGGACCACTGACTCTGCGTCCTGGTCACGGCTCCTTAGACTACGCGTCCGGGACCAACAATTCCTCAACACTCTAGCATTGTCCGATTTGGCGCGCGAGTTCCACGTACGACGACATTCGCGAAATAGGGCGACAGGAGACTGCAAGTAAACTTTGGACGGCATAGCACGGGACAATACGGGAACATAGGGCGCCATGGGATGATATGGGACGGCATAGGACTGCATAGGACGACATGGGACGACATGGGACGACATGGGACGACATGGGACGGCATAGGGCGACATGAGACGGCGTACGACTGCGGTATGACAACAAGCAACCTGCGAGACAGCATACAACGAATTCGGCGGATAGCATTACTCCTCAGGGATGCCTACCTCCGGCGGGCTGCGGTGACGAGCGACCTCCCATTGGCCGGATCCCTCGAGACCAGGACGCACTTTAGCTGCATTCAACCTTTCCAACCCACGGGAAAGGACGTCGAGCACTATCTCCGGGTCCGGGTCCGGGGACGGCGTGGTCGCCATACCGCCCTGTGCGACGACTGCCCGTAACTCTTCCACCTCCCGTTGCATGCCCTCCAACGTCGTCTGGATGCTCCTCACGAATCGTAGCGAGCGTTCGGTGTATTCGCCTACACGATCCAAGAGGCGCGTGTTGTAGGCCAGAATGCTTCTTCGTCGTTCGTTGAGTCGCAGAACAGACAGTAGCTGCCCCTGGAATTCATGTTCAGCCATGCGCGCCTCTCGTTTCTCGTCCGCAAGAACTGCACCGATGGACACGAGGTCGGCATCGAGGCCGCTGACCTTCATCAGCGAGGCGCCGCTAGCGTACATCAAGTCCCGTAGGACCCTTTCATACGTCTGGACGGCCGTGTCGAACACCTGCGAGAATTCCGGAAATTCGCAGATTTCCTCGATACCGGAGCCCAGCGTCGAAATCTTCCGGCAAGCTTTTCCGGAATGCGGTAACGACGATCGCGGAGGGCTACGAATGAGGCGGTACATATGCGCATTGGTCGACGTAATTCTGCCAGGATATGTGAGTGCGGTTTACTCATTGTATGAAGCAGCTCTACTCACTGATCGAATGCCGTCCCGATCTTGGCGGACAGCCGCTGCAAATCACGACTGACGGTGAGGGCATCTTCAGCGAACTGCTGGATGAGACCAGCCAGTTCGACGTTGTAATCGAGGTCGCTAGAGCGGATGACATTGATCAAGTCCACCGATAGGACACGAGCCTCCGTCAAGTCCATAACGATATCCGCATTTCCTCGCGACTCGACCGAGATGGCCTCGAATCCAGCAACCTGCGATTCGATAAGTCGGGGCAGCGCTGCCCACACGGTAGTGTTTCGCTCGGGCTGCTGGCAGAAGTGTGTCGTCGAAATCAAGCTAAACGTGCAAACGATCTTCGAGTCCGCCAGGACCTGGTTGTACAGCGCAAATGCGACGTAGCAGAAAGCGACTACAATCACTGGGAGTTGCACAAACAGGAAGGTCTGATGCTTATGTTGAGCGGCGTTGTCCACGATACAGAGTTCCATGGGGGCGTCACCTACCATTCTGTTCGAATGACGGTTGTCAGTGATCGCTCTACTATACTGGCGGAGCCACTGGACTGACCTGCGAAGTACTCGACACTCAGAGTGTTGTTTGTGCATGAAGATGGCGGTTGAAGTTGAGAAGAGACTCTCCAGTCGCTTGCCTTTGTACGTCGCGTGCACGACGCATGCCTAAATTTCGCTTTCGAACAAAGCGGCCGATAAGCCCTGCGCGTCCGACACCACACAGTCTTTTTCACGCATAACCTCCTTATGATTATTTCCTTTCGCATGTACGCACTTGCCTGACCGCGACTCTTTATTAGTTTCAAGCCTTGGATTAGCACAACGCAAGGGTGAGCATCGGCAGGCATGACTGCCTCCTCGTGGAACGCCACTGACCAGCGACACAAAGGGCTTTGAAGGTCAAAAGGATGCTGCGGCCGCCGCCTCTCTCTCATCCCTGTTCGTCGTTCGTATCCGCCGTCAGCACTGGTGGTCCCATCCCTAGTTATGCCCAGCCTATCTTTTAATGGAGTAAGTGCCTCAACAGATGTACGCTCTGTAAGGTATTGAACCTCCCTTTATCTCACCTTCAGGATATTCTCCTGCTGTCGGCGTTGTACTACCCAAGCGATGGACTGCTCGAACGATCCGTCCCCGTTGTGACGACGTTCGAAGGAGGGAGGAACTGGGTCGACGTGGAGCGCATCATGACGCGCGACTTCCAGATCTTCTCCCGGACTATAGCAGTCCGTGACGACCAGGACAAGCTACATCGTTTCATGCTGTTTTGGCAGACCCAAACGCACGATAGGCATCCTCGCGCTCTCCGCATTAACGAGCCGGCGAAGGCAGTCGTCCCTGGACATACGTTCCGGGGTGATCTCCTCATCATGCGTATCGGTGTACGTCGTCCATACACACATCTCACAGATAGCGGGGAGAAGGCGTTTGCACGGGCGGCCCTTCGAAGGTACGTACACGACAAATAACCCACGTCTGGCATTCGCTAACAAGGATGACACCCACCAGATTCCTGGATACCGCGACGCATATTACGGAGATGCGCCAGGCGAACAACAGCGACATCCGCACGATCATGCCAGCAGACCTGGACGGGCATGTCTAATCCAGGCTACTGTGGCTGCGCGCAGTCAAACGGTTGCTGTCAGCGATTCCGTTTTGTTACCCATATCTCCTTCCCCCATAGTTTCAACACCACCCGCGTCGCCCGTCGTCTGATTGTTCTACTGCATCCGTCATTGTAAATGTAAAGTGTCCTGACCTCTAATATTACTCGCCGACTGTCACCATGAGTTCCTCCGAGTCGCGTCGCCACGCAACTCGGGGAGTCGATATGTTTTCGAGTTCGACAATGAGGACGTCGCGGCGCTAATGACGGCTTACGTCATGCTCTCACGCCCCGCGACCTCAGCGCTTCAGTCCGACGACTTGCAGCCCGTCATGCTACATGCGGCGGCGCTCAACGCTCACAGCGTCCACCATCCCGCAGCTGCAGCACCTCCGTCGCAGCCCCGCCGTCGTTGTCCGTCCGAAGCCCGCCCGGAACGAAGGAACCCGCCAGCCGGCGGGTCGAAGCACGGCGGCTTAGCCCGCGAGGACGTCCGCCAGGTCGACATAGGAGATGCGCGACGACTCTCTGCGAAACGTTGGCAGGATGTCGCTTTTATGCGGAGTCCTGTAAGTGCGCTCTTCGCGTGTCCTTACCCGAAGCTGACCATTCGCGGGGGACTGTCGTCGATGGCGGATTCATCGCCACCCGAAAGCGACCCACAGGTCCTAGGCGTCGACCACCTCCGTTTCACGCCCTCGACTCTGGACGGGGCAGTGTCAGCTACGCGGGTCAGTCTCAGCGATCGCAGCGTAGCGGGCGCTGATCGTTGTCGCAGCAACAGAAGCAAAGTCGGCGAGCTCCAAGTCGCGCAGCCGGGGGAGCGGTACCGTAGGAGGGGCCATGCCCGGGTGCGAAGAAGAGGTGCGTGGCGTGAAAATTCTCCTTCACTCGATGCTAACCGTTGTCTTCGATGTATAGAAAACCCCTTACCACGTACTTGCCGCGCCGAATGCGCTAGCGAAGGCGACGCTTTGCGCGAAGATATGCGAACTGCAGCCCACACCTCGCCCGCCCATCCGTCGCCCCGGTCTCGCCCCGGTCGTCCGTTTTGGTTTCGACCATGCGTTGATGACCGGGCGGTGAGCTCCCGTTCTTGATGAGCGGTAGAGCGAACCTGCTCGGATGTCTCGCTGGCTCCGCCAGGCCACCCACGCGTCTTGCGCCTCACACTGCCCTCAGGTTTCAGTGCTCAACCGTGGACCAATGCCAGCGTGGTTATTGCGCGGGGCCTTAATATTTGACCTGTGCTGACAACGGCAGGAATACAGTTTGTGTAAGCAATTCTTCTATGAGTATGTCTGACCGATATTCTGACAAAATATAACCGCGGCGCCTTCGGACTGTAGGTCGAACGGACCTATACATGGTAAGATAGCGATCGCAACTGTTACGACCTCGGTTACTACAGTCAGGTGTAGGTTTGGGTCGTGTGATATGGTCAGCACGATGATGTGGCAGTGGCACACCTGGCATTGTGGTGCGTGGGCAGATCTGGGCGCCGCACAATGCAAGACCTCAGTCATAAGAGCGCGCAGAAGAACCAGGGGCTCCCCGACATCGTAGGTCTTTACGTTGACTTCACGGCGACACTCTTGGACATAGTAGGCGATCCTACACGTACGTGTCTTCCTCGTCGTGTCACCGTCGGGCACTGAGGCAGTCCACATTCGTTGCAGCACCTCTATTTGAATGATGAATCCTCAAGCATTGATTAGTCGCATTGCCGACTGCCCTGATCGCACTACGGCAGGCAGCCCTGGCGAGACCTTGGATGTCGCCATCGCTCCTTGCGCCACTGAAGTTGACCTGATCGCGAAGCCCGCGACCAAAGCTGCTGTTAACGACCCCGTTGACTATCGCCCCGCTGTCTATGAAGCTGGCAGCGATGTATCTCTCCTCATCATACCGGGCCAAGGACCGAAATCACAAGCAGACATTGACGTGTTTCTGCGGCCGCTTGTGAGCCAGGTTTCCGTGGCAAGTCTTCGTTCTGTTCTCGCCGGACGAGTTGCTAATGCTCTATTTTGACAGCCACTGATACGCGGACCTCAAAGGGACGGGCGATGAGATGCTTTTCCGTCAGTACGACGTGCGCGAGGTCAATGAAGAAGCAGGAAGGTTCGGATGTGCCCTACGTACTGTTGATCGTTCAGAGGCTGAGTGGAGAACAAATGTATTACGATAGGAGGTCCAGGATGCGGTGATAACAAAATGAACAGTGTGTAGAAACTTCGGGGCTTGACGAACGTGAATCGAATGTCATGCAGAGGAGTACCGCTATTGGAGGTGAGTCGGTGTGGCATGGGAATCAATCCTCGCATCGACGACAATAAGACAGGTGGACCCGTGGTCAGATACAGTGCGCAAGAACCACCTGATGAGTGCCAATCTCGGATTCAGTCCGCTCGTTGCTATGTCACCACCCTACACACAAACAGAGGAGGGCTCGTCAGGTACATCTTCAGCGCGTCATTGACTTTCTTCTTGACGAAGAGGCGGATGGACCAATAGTCTTCCATCTACAAAGCGATTAAGAAATCTGCACAAGGGAGTCGTCTTGGCTCTTACCACATGAGGAACTCGCACAACATAAACTTCCTTCGCCCCTTCCAACTTGCCGTGGTAGTGGTCGTACAAGTAATCTTGCGAGTAGTCAGGCCTCGTCGCAGACAGATAAAACGTAGCGCACATACTGTAGATAACTGGGTCGAGTTCGTGGCTCAGTTCCCCGTCATTGTCGACGACACACTGAAAGTCTACGAAGAGCGAACTGCCTTCGTCCGTCTTCCCGTCGTCATGTGCGCCATTCCCTCCCACGGGAGTCCCCACATTTGTACCTTGTTCAACGGTACCAACCTGCTGGTCATATTGGGTATCCGACTCGTCCTCACCTTGCAATCGCGCATCGCCATTCAAGTCATTCTCCGATAGTTGGTCATTGAGCGACAACGTTGACATGTTGAGCGTACCGGGTACGTCAAGGGCCTGCGGAGCTCCGTCATGGCGGGCCCGGGACTGACTATCCGCATCACCATATGCATCCGATGGAAGATTTTCGCCGTCGTCCGATTCACAGACATCGAAGGACAGCCTGCTGAAGTCGCCTGACGAGCTTGTCCATTCGATGATGAACGCTGGCTCCCCGTCTAGCTCAAAGTGGCGCTACGAACAATCATTTCACTATATGTAGTAGGTTCACGTCATGGTGAACACCACTCACGATACGAGCACGGACCTCGAGGTGGAGTGCATCCCCCGGCAAGGCGGAGTGGTCCAACACCGCATACGTGAGGATGACCTTCTCGTCGGTCACGTCTATGTCATCGAATACTGCGGGCATGGTGTACGTGTGGCAGCGAGATCTTGAGACAAATGGACTTATGCAGATGTTGAGGTCACGGTGTGCAGACGTGGACATTTGCAGATCAGTGGACGTATGCAGATGTGCGCCTACCTACGCGGCCTTGTGACAGTTCGAAATCTTGCATTGTGCCTTATCTAGTGGCTCCCCAGTCAGAAGAGCTGCAGCTGCCTTGTCTTCTAGATCTGCAGCGATTTGGGTCTATGTTAAGCGCTTGCGCGCCTTCGGTCCGCTAGTGGCGCTGAAAACGCAATGACGTTACTCCTACGCCGCTACTTACTTGAAGTATACAAGGGCGGCCTGCAAGTTGCTGCACACTCGTCCACACAGCCGTGTCTCGGGTCGTTCCTGATTGTCACGTTCCCCTCTGTCTGTGTTCGCCTGCCGCTCGCTCCCCGTGTCGACATGCCGCTGCGCAGGCGCTGCAAGATAGCACTTCCTCCGCCCTCTTGCAACCGGAAATCGAGCCTGACGGTCATAGGTGAGCACTTAGTGCAGACGGTAGAGGAGCTGATCAGGTTTCTTCCGGGGAGACACGTTGCTCAGCTACATCGAGTCACCCGGGAGTCACCGACGTGAGCACCAGACGCAGACCACGAACGAGTAGCGCGTAGTACGTACCAGCATCAAAGTGGAGCCGAGTCCATGTCGTCAATGCGTGCAACACGGACCAGTTGATAACGCGGTAGATGAGTAACGGTCAGCTCCCGTGGACACCCAGGACAGACAGACGGGCCCGTTCGCAGGAGACGGGGGCGCGCACATCGGCCCGCTGTACACTTCAAGACCACGCCGTACACGGCTGCAACGAGCTCCAGCGACGGCGTGCCAAGGGCATTGCTGGAGGCTCGCAAAGAATGCTCGTGCAGGGAGGAAGAGAGGTATCAGCGAATGGGGCCAGCAAACCAGGTGAGTGTGCAGCTTGTAACCTTCGACCTTGTAGCTGACCCCGACAAGCGAATGCTCATCAAGGACGACTGGATGGAGACAAACGCGACGGACACGGCCCCGGTGCTTGCGCGCGCAAGCGACACAAGCCAAGCAGTAACCGGACGAACCAACGCGCCGGCGGGCGGGCGAATAAATAGGTGGATGAGTGAGCAGATGGACGGACGCGGATCCTGAGGATGTACCTCGGGAAGCTCGCGCAGCAAGAGGAGGAAAGGAGGAAAGTTACGGCGCGTTGCCAGACCTGATGCATATCGCACATGGCGCGAGGACCGACGGCAGACACGACACGACGCAGAAACAGGTCGAGAGTGCAATGTGGCAGAAGGCGGGGCCCGTCATGCGTGCCCTCGCTGTTCTGGTAGGCGCTTGGGAACATCTCGGAAAGTGAGTGCGTTCGCTTCTTCTTTTGGCATCCCTCAACGTACGTTGCTAGTGTCCTACCCCGTACTGCGCCGTCCTCGCACACGCTCCGCCTACGGTTCATGGTGCTGGTAGTATCGGTCATGGTAGCGACCACAGCCATTCCGGCAGCTCTGTTCGTCAGGGCTTATATGACGCGCGTACAAGTCTACAGTTGAAGGAGACGACCACGAGCCGCCAGGAATACGGAGCGGTCGCCTGTGCCCGTGCCCACGCCAACAGGCAATCCATGAACAAGACGCCCGTCGTGTGCCCTGCTGACCACGAAGATGGCTTGTCCATCGCTCGGGACGACATACGTCGTACCCGCTGCTACACGTCGGATGCGCGTCGCTGTACGTCTGACGTGGTCCGTCCATCTACGACCGATAATAGCGTAGTACTTACGTCCATGTCAAGGTTTTCACTCGATGTACATGTTGCCAAGATAGCGACGTGTCCTGCGCACGCACGCGCCGTTGGCACACTTTCGGGCCCCTGATCCCGCATGGCGGCCGACGTGTCGGGCCCGCACTGCATCATTCCAATCAACGTTACACTATTACGGCTGAATGGAACGGTTCAAGCAAGTATGACGGCCCACTCAGGGCGGACGAACTACTTACAGCAATTGAAAGCGACGACTGGCACAAGTTAAGTTCTACTGTAAGTAACAGCGTATCATCAGGTCGATCGCGAAGCTTCGAAGTCTAATGCGAGCGCTAAGACTTAATCAGAGCGAAGCGATCTTCATCTTGCATTGTGCCGTCGACGCAAGCATGATTGCTTTATGATGCAAACACGATAGGGATGATTCGAAGCAGCTTGTCGAGCCTTTCCCATCCTCCTGTGATCGACCTGCTCTACCACTCCCTCCACTAGCGACAACACCGGTACTACACGATGTCTGCCACCTCCGACGCGGCACCGACTGTAGATGTCTGGAGTCGCGAGGCTCTCAGTATTTTAGAGGCGAATATCACAGATGCAGCGAGCGCTATTGATTCTGCGCTGCTACAGTGAGTATGCGGACGACTACTACGGATAGATTTTGACGCAACAGCCATTCTTTCTCAAGGACTTTCCGCGACCTTCATTTCGACGATCTTGAGATGCTTGAGCCCCGCTCCTTGCCTACGAAATACCTCAAAAAAAGGAACGCACATCACCGAAGACACCTCATCTCCAAGTTTGAAAGAATACTCGACGAATTTCATGAGAATTACTCCGGAGAAGACATGCAGAATCTTTTCCTCGGCCTGTCTGAACGCTCCTTGAACCTATCTGCACTGCAGACGCAGGCGAGTGGGCAGCCATGCCGAATAATGTATTGACCAAGCCACTCATGCCACTCCTAGCTCCAGGACAGACTGCTGGCTTCTCTAGGCGACGAACGCGATGTACGCGTGCCTCATAGGCTCCAGAGGCACACAGAGCGCCTCATCTCCCTTGAATCTGAGTCTGATTATCTGCGGCTACAAATTGAGCACTGCTCTGCATCGTTTTCTATGTTATTCATGCCTCAGGTACGTCATCTATTCTTAAGGCTTGTATTTCATGGCCGTGAACACCTGTGAACTAGGATGTGGCCCGACAACTGTTTATCAGGCCACTGATCAATCTTCCTGAAGACTTCACGCAAGGCCTAGTTGAAGCCAGAACTATACTGTCCGATATCAACGGGCTGACCGTGGAACGTCGGCGGCTCCGCAATGAGACAGTAAAACTCTTCAGTCGGACGTTTGCAGAACTAACTGCAGCGAACGACAGACCGCCGCAACCTGCGAGGAACGGAATCATCCAACAACACTTTGCTCGGCTGTGGGACATCAGACAGGTCCTGACAACTCAGCACGAACAGATGGAGCATTTGAGAAAGAAGCTTGTGGTGAGCCATTCATTGCGTTGTCCAAGCAGCAGTGGAAGAAACATATCATTGGCCACACAGGTTCAAATCGGTTCCTTGATCGCTGCCCCAGAATTCCTCCCGGATCAGGCTGGCTCGCCGATCAACGTAGTTGATCTCAGAACTGCCCTTCAGGCATTCATCGACCTCTGCCGGGGTGCTCGAGCACACAGCAGGGTATGTAACACCATTCCTTTAGACGCGCAGACGCATTAAGTTCAAGCTATGCCTCCGGGCAAACCTTACAGGGCTGCGATCGCGCAATCAGCTGCAGCGAAGAGCTGCTAAATCTCTTGAACAGAGATATGCATGCAAATTGATTTGACATCCCTCACCTCCACCTACACATTGTGTTGCCCGTCGTCTCTTTGTTCTACTGCCTCCACCGTTGTAAAACTAAAGTGTCCTGATTTCTGATACTACTCATATACCGGCACCATTAGTTTCTCAGAGTCGCGTCCGTGCGCGACTCAGGACTAGCACTAAGCAACGAAACAAAGTGAGTGGCGTGCCACTTTGAGGTAACAAAAGCGGGTTTTAGTTACCACTGGCGGCTTCGAAGCACGGTTCGAGCGAAGCCACACATGGACAGCAGGACGATGTAATGCGATTGATTTGAGCAACTAGACAGCGGGGATAATAGATTGTATACTACGGGAGATAAACTAGTCGCACGGGAGGACACGGCAGACGGTGGAACTTAGACGTGAAGGTTTTGACATAAAATTTGAGTGCAGTGGCCTCGACGGCGTCGAAGTGCCCCACATCATCGCATTCCCCGATGGTGACTGCATTGGCTCGTAATACCTCGGGGACCTGTGGCCACGCGCTCATGACCAATAACAAAGCCTGAAGGTTGCCCCGGCGACTCTGCCACCCTTCTTCGCACGTCGGTGTCCAACAGAAGGCGGGGGAGGACACGTCAATGACCGAGAACGCGGTTTGATGAACCGACGACTGCCACACTCGAGCAACGCGCTGTTCACGCTCCCACTTGCGAAACACGTCGTCCGAATAGTCGACTAGAATATTGTCGAGGGCGCGCAACTCGCAACGCCAGTTTGTCTCGTAAAGCTCCCAAACCACCATAGCCAAGAACGATTTGTTGGTTCTTGCGGCATCGAGATTGACTTTCATCCCACGAAACCACGACACGTCGGCTTCGTTGTACGACAGCAGAGATCCGCCTTTGGCGAACAGCCGACGTACGCACTGCAGTCGCTCGTAGAGGTAGTCACGCTTTGGCACCTCCGAAGTTGTCTCATGGCCCGGTAATCCATCCTCGCTCCTAGTCTTGTCCGTCGCGTCCGGCTCGTCGAGACGATAATCGCCGTAAAGGGCATGACGCCAATCGGCGATGCGCAGGGGTGTGCCACTGATGGCGGAGTCGACGAGGCGGTGCCTGCAGTACTCACGAATGCGCGTGAAGTTGTGCAGATAACGCGTCTTCTGACTGCTAGCCTGGAAGATGACGAAGGGCGGTGGGAAGTAGTATTCGGCCGCCACACGCGGCGGGAACGGCAATGGAGGAAGCTCGGACAGAGCAGCCGTCCAGTTGGGACTGAGGGTGACGAGCTCGGCAGGAGGAGCCTTGAACGTAGTCGCGGGGTGTGGATCCGGCGACTTCTCCGTCACTCGGCCTCTGCGCGAGCGTTTACCCCTCTTCTTGGCGTTGCGTGTCTGTGGCGGCGCCTTGGAACCAGACAGCATTGCCGGGGTCGAGTCATCGCCCTTGAACCGTTTCGCTTCCCTCTCCGTGCCGTCGGGCCGAGCGACGACCTGGAGCCGAGGCAACGCCGACGAGCACAGTAGGTTGCTCACAAAGAGCACCGAGGGCTGCGTCCAGCGAGCCGGGTCTTGATGCGTCCCGTCGGGGTCATACCATGACTTTGGAATGCGGGGCCAGGCGGGTTCATCCTTCAGCTCAGTATTCCACGCACGAGGTTTCACCACCTTGCGGATATAGAGATTGGCAGTCCATGGCCGGATGTACCAGAACGGCAACCCTATGCGATAGAGGAGTTGGGCGGCGGCGTCATTGCGGACGAAAGCGCCGAGGACCTTCAAGACAGGGTGAACACGGTTGTGTGTGTTGGCGATGCGACTGACTAGGACAGTGAAGTAGACCGTCAGACCAGAAAGCTCGAGAATGAGACGGTGAGCCATTCTCGCCGTCACCAGGGCGTGCTGCTCGGTGCAGGGGAGCGCTCTGAGACGGTCGACAGCATTCCTCAGCAGGAGGCATAGCATCGCACCCAGCCTCCTATCAACACCCGATGAGGCATTGAAAGTCGCTGGGTCGCGACGCCGAGCGGCGGTTTCGGCCTGCTCGTAACGCGAAATGACCGCGACTGCGATTGAATATAACTCGTTCAGGACCTCCCCCTTCAGATATCCAAACCCCAGAACCCCGCATGTCTTCGATTCCTCCCACGGATCGTACCCAAGACCATCGTACACTTGCGACCCCGGAGCATACTCTGAGTTGCTAGTGGGAATACATGCGTGGTGAACGCAATGTTCGTTGTATAGCTGAGGCCAGCGTGTGTACTCCTGGGGTCCCCAGAGGCCGTCGCTGAACGTCACGATCTCGCGCCCAGAGATACGCGGAAATTCGGGAATCCAGGTCATACAAGGGGTGGTGATGATGTTGCAGTCGTCGTCTGCGTCTGCTGCACACTCGGCGTCGAATGGACCCAGGTGCGAGCGCCGTTCTATATCACAACACGCTCATTAACGAACCATAGAGATCAGAGCTTGTGTAGCCATACCTGACGCAGGCGAGGGGGTCAGCCCGAAGTTGAAGATTTGTATGGGTCGGTGAAGATTGGCATCCGCCATAGTGGAGACAACTACGGCACGATATATTACTCGATTCAACGATTTGGAGGAAGCACATAAGCCTCATACCAGTATACTATGTCCGCAAGCCGGTTCAGATTCATAGAGAACATATGAGGAGGCATCCGCACCTTTTTTACGCGTTATATCAACTCTAAAGGGCGTCGTCTTGCAGAGGGACGACGCGTTCTCGAATTTGTCAGGTCTGGGCAATGCTGACCGCAGTCGCGCAGACGTCAGCAGCTTTCGGTGGTGAGACACATGACGAATAGTCACCAATTGGAGGTTCGCGACACGTCTTGACGCGAGGCAGTGGTCTTGCGGCTTTGGGTCGAAGTGTCCAACGAGAAGCCCCGGCAGCAGATACACTGCGCCAGAGCCACGTTCGCGCAGGAAGATCGGAATCTAACCTGGCCGCAGAACGATGTCTCGAAAGGGTGCGAGAGCGAGAGAGGAAGCACGGAAATGAGATGCAGTCAGAGGAAGCTTCAGCGCGGCGAAGTCGGAATCGGAGTCGACGTCGAGGTGGGAAGTTGGGATCAGTGCAAGCGCTTGTTCAAGTTGTTGGCGTCTACCCGGCCACCCGAAGTCGCCTTGAGCGCTTGTGCCCCCACCACGCTCCTACCGTCTACGTATACGCCGACCTCCCTTCCTATGCCGACCTCTGAGTCTGGCCTCTCTCGAAAGCGTTCGTGCCTTGCTATGTCTACCTCAGCCTCTCTCTCTATGCGTCAGTTCTGGTATCACAGATGTCCGCTTTGGTTTCGACCATGCGTTGATATCTGGGCCGGGGATGTAACGGATATTCCCGTTACGGTATATCTTATCTCGTATGATTGTTCTTGTTTGTTCGAGGGCTCGTATGGCACGCCAGCGCACCTATGAGACCTCAGTCCTTTACCATCCTCATCGCCCCATGTATGCTACGTGTAGACAGTCCCTCTGAATAGAGACTGGGTACAGCGCATACCGGGCCCGAGGATTAAGGGACGCTACACTTTTTTGCGCTCCAGAACAGCTTCTGTTCTGGGGACTATCTACTCTAGGCAACAACCTGGAAACTTCGAATTTCTATGCTTTACATCAAAACCTAGTCGACTTCGCAACCACTCAAGAAGATGGCTGGATCGACAACCCACTCTCCCAAGCACTCACGTAGTACTCGGGAGGCCCACCGCGCGAAGGTCGATGCGAAGGTCGATGGAATTCTTGACAGTTTTGCGAAGTTCTTGAAGAGTATTCCGGTCGAGACACGAGCTACCCCCGATAGGCGGTTCCGGACACTCGATGACTCGATGAAGCATCTAGATGATGCTATCACATCGTTCAGACGCTCCGTGGAGCAGGACAACGAGTCCAGACGTCACCGTCGCACGACCTGCCGGACTGAGCTCTCCGACCCCGAGAACTCGTCCGGAGCACTCGCGGAGCAGGCACCGTCCGACCGCGAGGTCGAACGCACAGCACACGCAGAACTGTTCGAGCCCAAGGTCGAGCCCATTCAGAGCTGCCAGGAGAACCCGACTCCGCCTGTTCTAACCGAGCCACAGGAGCTGGAAAGCTCTCCGACGAGTGGTGCGCGCACCGAGATCGACAGCGCTGCCGCTGTTGAGCCCGTGTCTGAGCCCAAGGGGCCGCGTCCTGAGCAGATCGAGCCCGACATCGAGACTGCTCAGAGATGTCCGGAGACTCCGTCTCCGATTGCTCCCAGTGAGCTGACCAAACTCGGTACCACACTCAAGAGTGGTGCACGCGCCCGGTTCGACGACGCCGCCGTCGCCGAGACCGAGCCCAAGCCCCAGTTGTCCGACAAGGCGACTCGGCCCTACGCCCGGGAAGGCATAGGGACGCGACCTTACGTCGCATCCCCGGATGTAGGCGAGCTTTTGCTCGTAGATCCACATGTCGCGTGCTCAGAAATGAGCCGCGACTCAAAATATATGATCGCGCCGGACGACGTGCCCGACGCGGCCAGCATCGAGCTCGACACTCAACGCGTCGAGCGTCACGCGCCCGCGCCGAGAGCGAGCACTCCCAGAGTTAGCGCTGGAAGTGCTCCTCACAATGCTAACCGCCACTTCGACCTTCACTCTGGCAGCCACCGCCCGCGGGCAACCGCATTCCAACCCGGGTTGCACTTCCCAACGGAAGTGCGAGCCGCGGACTGTCCTTGGACAGTTGTACCCTTTGCGGTTCAGCTAAAGGACCGACCGGTCAGTATCGACTGCCATCTCGCGGTCGACACCCCCTTTGGTGACGACTACTCGCGCGCGGCCGCTACCCAGGAAGACTTGCACTTCCTACCGGAAGTGCAAGACTTCGGACTCTCCAAGACGGTTGAACCGCACTCGGTATCGTTGGCACGCCTCGACCGGTCCCCAGAACAGGTCGACTGCGCTCAACCTCAGGATAGGCACGAGCGTCCGTCTGGCGGGCCAGACGCACACGCTGTTCCAATGGACGTGCAAACTTGCGTTCGCGGATCCGGATGGCCAGCTGAACTACTGACAGTTCAACTGGCGGCGCCCAATGATCTGGCACCTCACGGTGCCAGACCGCGATCTACTTCCTATATGACCACGATCCTCGACTCTCGGAACCTCGCTTCGGACTCGAGAAGCTCTGTCCTCGACCCCGGCACCATCTGTTCGACCCTCGAAGGTTCTGGCGACACGCAACAGAGCCGCGCGGCCCAGGACTCGTACGACGCGCGTGCAAGTCCAGCGCCGAGCAACAAGGTCGAGAAGAACGTGCAGAACGGGGAGCGAACAGGAACCAGGGAGATGAGGAAGAGAGAGGAGGGGGAAGGGTGTGGGGCGAGCAAGAAGAACGAGCACAGAGGCTCAATGGACGCAGGTACGCCCGTGTTGAGCGTATCCCACTCGCCACCGCCTCCTTCTCCAATGCCCACACCGGCACACGTATCGACGACCACAGAGGTCGTCGTGCGTGTCGCAGGCCATGGAGACGGCATGTACGCGTTGCGGGACGACCTAATGGTCGTGCCCATCGCCCCGGTTGTGCTACGGGACGACCTTATGGTCGTACCACCACCGTCGCAAAGCGACACAGTGGACGTTCAGTCCCGCATATCGGACACGTCCCGACCTTTGCTGACCGACCAGCACACTGTACCGACCAGTGAAGGTACGTCCTCGATGGACGTACCTGTCTCGATACCTCCATCCCCAATGCCCGCGCCAGCAGGCGTATCGACGAACGAGAAGTCCGTCGTACGCACTGCTGGCCACGAAGATGGCATGTATGTGTTGCGGGACGACCTAAGGGTCGTACCCCCCGCCCCTCGAGGCGGTATGCCTGTAACACGGGACGACCTCGCGGTCGTACCGTCTATTCCGCTAGGCGGCACGGCGGACGCGCAGCATTGCACGTCCGAAGTGCCCCATCGAGCATTCACCAGCCGTCGCGTAGCGAACTCGAAGCTCGATGGTATGTCCATACTGGACGTACCCAGTCCTTCCCCGGTTCTCTCGCTAGTACCCGAGCCAGTGTGCATGTCGACGAACGAGAAGGCTGTCGTGCGCACTACTGGTCACGGAAACGGCAGGTACACGTTGCGGGACAACCTCGCGGTCGTTCCGTCCACTTCGCAAGACGACACGGCGGATGCACGGTGCTGCGTGCCCGCCTTGTCCCGACCTGTCATGACCGACCCACACGAAGGATCGATCAGTGAAGAGGTCGTTGTGCGTGCCGCAGGCCATGAAGACGGCACTTTCGTGTTGCGGGACGACCTGATGGTCATACCCGCCACTTCTCGAGGCAGTACACTTGCGATACGGGACGACCTCGCGGTCGTACCATCCAATCTGCAAGGCGACACGGCGGACGCGCAGCGCTGCACGTCCGACGTTTCCCAGACAGCTTTCATTAGCTGTCGAGTAGCGGGTTCGAAACTTGAAGCGTGCGTATCGACGAACACGGAGATTGTCGTGCGCACCGCTGGCCACGAACACAATACAATCATGCCCCAGAACGACCTTGAGGTCGTACCCGAGCGTTCGAGTTCCTCGCTACCGTCTCCACTCCCATTACGGTACGACCTCGCGGTCGTACTCTTCAATTGGCAAAGCGAGACGACGACCGAGCGCCATCCCACAATCTACGTACCCTGCTCGGTCACGAACGACAGTCGCGACGTAGAGGGTACGTCGAATTCATGGCTCGATATACACGCTACCGGCAAGCACTGGCACAGAGGGTCGAGAAGTACAAGTACGCTCTCGGCGGACGTACTTACCTCGACGCCTGCTGCACCCATGCTCGTGTCCGTGCCCACGCTAGCGAGCGTCACGGTGAACGAAGAACCTGTCGCGCGCAACACCCACGGCTCGTCGGGCCACCGTCTCTTCATCTCCGCCTTCATGATCACTTGTGATCATGGAGATGACATTACGCTCACATCTCGGGACGACCTTCAGGCCGTACCGGGACCCGTCATTCGCCACGGCGAAGTCGGGTACGCACAGTGCTCTCAGCAGCCCGAGATCGCCGTCGGGTCTGCTCAATGCCACCTGGAGGCACCATCCCAAGGTGCCCCGGCCCAAGCGATGAAGCCAGGCATCACCCCGAAGGATGATGCACGCGCCGAGCTCGACACGTCCGTCATCGAGCTCGCATCCGAGCTGAACGAGTGGTGCGTTGAGTCGACGCATCTCCGCACTCGGGAGGGCATAGGCACACAGTACCATAATAGTACTGTGTACAGCGGGGACGAACCCGTACGTGTAGATACACCCGTCGCGCGCTCAGAGATGAGCCGCGACACAAAAAATGTATTATTATTATCGGACGACGTGCCTGCCACGACGAGCAGCCTGCTCGACGCGACGCGCGACGCGCTCAACGCTACAGGCGTTGGGTGTCACGAGCCCGTGGCGAGCGACCCGAGCGCTAGCGCCCACCGCACTACACTCGACCGCCACCACCGAACCCTCGTTCTTGACCTCTTCCACTCTCTGGGCAGCCACCTCGAGCGCCCGTCTGGCGAGCCAGACGCGCGCGCCGCCACGCGAGTGCGAACTCGCGTTCGCAACTGGCTGGTTGACTTAATGCCAGCCCAGTCAGTGGCAGCCGACGACCTGGTACCTCGCGGTACCAAATCGCCACTTCCTCCCTCCCCGGCTCCTCACCTCACCACTTTCGGTTCGCGCATTCACTCTGGCGACCGCTACCGCGGCTTTGGCGACATGCTACCCAGCAGCGCGACTCAGGACTTGAACACCGCGCGTTCAAGCCCAGCGCCGAGCTGCAAGGCCGAGCGGACCACGAGGAACGCGGATAGTGGAGGCTGCAAGGAGATCCCGAAGGAACAAGAAGGGTGCGAGGAACGGACGAAGGGTCAGGGGGAGGAAGGGTGCGGGGCGAGTAGAGAAAGCGAGCAGGAAGGCTCGCAAAATACAGGTACGCCCTTACTGGACGTACTCAACTCGCCTCCGCCTGTGTCAGTGCCCGCGCCAGCGTGCGTGTCGACGAACATGGAGTTCGTCGTGCGCACTACGGACCATGAAGATGGCACCTCCGCCCCCAGGGACGACTGCGAAGTCGTACCCAATGTCCCGCACGGCAGTGCATCCGTGCTGCGGGACGACCTCGCGGTCGTCCCACTCATCTCGCAATACGACATGGCGGACGTGCAGTACTGCACGTCCGACGTGCCTCACCATCCCACGACCGGATGTCGAGTAGCGGGTACGCCCCAGATGGACGTACCCACCTCGACACTTCATCCCTTGCCCGCGCCCATACCAACAAGCGTAGCGACGAACGTGAAGTTCGTCGTACGCATGGCTGGCCAAGAGGACGGCATGTTCACGCTGCCGGACGACCTATTGGTCGTGCTTTCCGATACGCAAGGCCGCGCGCCAGTATTAGAGGACGACCGCGAGGTCGTACATTTCAATGCGCAAGGCGGCATGATGGATCAGCAGCGATGCAGGTCAGAGATGCCCCATCCAGCGTCGACCGTCCGTTGTGCAGCGCGTACGTCTAGCCTGCCGCTAGACGTACACGGGGCTTATGACCACCCCTCGTCGATTGCCCCTGACTTCTTGTCTGGCAGCTATATCGCTCGTCCACCCACAACGCAACACGGCCTGCACGTCCTCACGGAAGTGCAGGCCCTGACTGGCCCAGTGCAGCTGAACCTCCTTTGGTTCAGCTGGCAGAGTCGTGGGTTCACCTCGACGACAGATCCAGCAGCCCCCAATCGCGCGCGGCCGCATTCCGGGAAGACTTGTACTCCCAACCGGAAGTGCGAGCCCCCGGTAGCGTCAAGACAGCTGAACACCTCGCTGTTCAACTGACAGGCCCGCAATACGACCTTGACCTGCTCGACGAAGTGTTGGACCTCAATCCCGACTTGTTGAGCAGTCACCACCGTCTTCGCGACCCCGGCGCCTCTGCGAGTGCGCAGCCCGACGCTTGCGTAGCCCCAACGAACACGCGAGTTCGGGATTGCGAGGCGACTACTGCACTACCGACAGTGCAGCAGCCGGCGCTTACGGACTCCGACCGACCAGAACGGCTGTCCGACCGTCAACCCGACGAGAACTTCACAGTTCTCATCGAGGGTTCGATCCTAGGGACCCCTACCAAACTCCCCATCACCTCCTTCGCGGCCCCCGACATCGGTGGCGACTACGAGAGGCGTCACGAGTCGGAGCTCGTGCACGCACCCCGAAGATCGAGTGCAGGACGGACGGAGGATCAGGGCGGGGTCGAGGTGGAGGTGGAGGAGATTGCAGAGGCAGGAGAGGCAGAGGAGGAAGGTCAGACAGAAGGAAGAGAGGGGGAAGGGCACGGCGTAGGCAAGGAAGACAAGCTTCCGTGCTCGGAAGACAAAAGTACGCCCGTACTGGACGTACCTCCCCCGCTTATATCGCCACCCCTTACACCGTCATCACCACTATCGACGGCCACGACAACCACACTGGTTGTCGTGGCAATCACCGTGCACAATGGTGGTACGGGCAGACCACGGGGCGACCTACAGGTTGCTCCCGGCACGGCTAGGCATTGCGGTACGATCGGCGAGCGAGTCTGCTCGTCCGATGTATCCGACATCTTCACAGCTCACGCGCAGACGACGAGTTCCTCGCTCGACATCTACGCTGAGGTGCTTAGCAGTGGATCAAACAACGAGTACCTCAAGGTACTCGCTGCGCATTCACCACCTCCTATCCCACTACCACCACCTGTGACGATCACGACAATCAACGTGGTTGTCGTGGCAGTCACCACGTATGACGGTGGTACCAATGGCCTATGGATGTATTACGAGCTGCACCCGGCATGACGATGCATCGCGGTACAATCGGTGAGCTTATTGCTCGACCGATGTATCTGATCGTTCTGCAGCCCACGCGCAGACGTTGGGCTTCCCCGTCGACGTCCACGATGAGGAAGTTGACGGTGATTCGAGAAGCGAGTACCTCGTGGTACTCGTGCCAGTATCATTACCCTGCATTCCGATACCACCACCGATTGGTCACATCCAGTATGGTCGCGCATCGACTCAGGGAGTGCTGAGCTCGCTGGCGAATGCGAGTACATTACAGCTCGGGTTGCGACCACCCTCACTGGTCCCATCACCATCATCCATGATGTATCTGGAGAATTCACAGTTCTCCGACCTGGGTTGCTATCATCATTCCGGGCTGCATAACTCCATTGAGTTATGTATGACGAGAGTGGACGGCCATGCTGCTCACTGACACGAAGTAGCTTGTCGTTGTCTACAGTATGGCACCACCTCGGTCTGGCCTATTGCTACCACCGTTGTGTGGTAGCATGTACTTTCCTTTTCATTTCATTTCCTCTTTCTTTGTTTCTCTGGTTATCTCTGGGACCCGTGGTCGTGTCCAGTGGGGGAGGGTGTAACGGATATTCCCGTTACGGTATATCTTATCTCGTATGATTGTTCTTGTTTGTTCGAGGGCTCGTATGGCACGCCAGCGCACCTATGAGACCTCAGTCCTTTACCATCCTCATCGCCCCATGTATGCTACGTGTAGACAGTCCCTCTGAATAGAGACTGGGTACAGCGCATACCGGGCCCGAGGATTAAGGGACGCTACAGGGGAACTCCTGCTCTTGTATGAGCAGTTGAGTGAACCTCACCGTTTTCACGAGATGCCGACCCTCCGGGCTCCAACATTCTACCCCACGAAGGCTTGAAGATGCTTAGCACCATTAAGTATCAGCGATGTGTGCCGCCTAGAGCCCGATGAACGCTGTACGCGCGATGGTCCCTTCGATGTTGTACCGAAGACATCAAAGGGCTGACAACCGATTCTCGATAATAGGCCCTGCTGTCCCCGTTTTGCAAAAACATGGTCGACGAATCACTCGCGTGTGACCTACCCCGCCGTAGCCGTGCGTGCAGGAACTGCACAGGTGGGTCTGATGCGACCAGAGCAGTTCACATCTCCTGACGCCTCAGATCCATGCCCGCGACCAACGTACGCACCGCGTCTGACCTCGCATGCTCAATTTGCCTCGAGCGGACGGACGAACCGGCGGGCGGGCGAATGAACAGACGGATGAGTGAGCGGATGTACGGACGGACGAGTTTGCGGGCGAGTTGGTTCTTTGCGAACGCACGACCTCTACGGGACGAATTGGCGTCGCGAGTTGTGCGCCCTTGACTGTCTTCTCGCCGACCACACCAAGGATATCTCCGTCAAAAGTGGGAGCCCGAGCAACTAATCGTCACGATCTGGCACGGCTCGGCGCTCGAATCCGCCTTCTCTGCCGTCGTCGTCGAAGACTCCTCGCTTTGCTGGACCGTTGCCGGAGACCCCCAGTGGTGACATCGGCGAGCGAACATCTGCGCCTTCTTGGTCGCAATGAACGCCTGGCCGGACTCCACCCCCCTCCCCCGCTGCGAATGCAGATAAAGGGCGTTGATACGTGCGAGGACGTCGACGCTTTCCAATGAAACGGAGGCTGTCGCCATCCACTTCTACGTCAAGATATTCGATCGCGAGCCGCCGCTCAGCAGACAATGCAAGCCTGTGCCACATGAGTATATAAAGCGAAGGCGAAGTCGACCAACGTGCAGTCAAGCAAGCCCCATGTCCTCCCCTTCTCCCTCGTTCAGCACCCTCTCCGATAATGTCGTCGTCGTCCGCTCTGGGAGGCGCCCCGACAAGTAAGTTGGTTGCCCTTCCCTCATAAATTATAGCGCTGAGCATCAGTTGACAGAGGGATATTCGTCTTCTATGTGGCGGATTACCGAATAGGAGGGGTCGTAACTATAGACGGCGCTCGCATCATGAGGCCTGGACGCCTCGTCTTCATCCCTCTCCCTGGCGGTCGTTGTGAGCCTGCCCTTCCGATTCTTTGCTGTCGATCCGCCACTGACGGCTACCTCCCGCAGATGCCTTCTTCTGCTGCGGGCCTCGCGAGGTGCGAGGAAGGCCGATCGGCTCATGGAACGTTCAAATCGTTGTCCAAGAGGTGAGCGCGCAGCCGGTTCAATGGCTCAGTCACTAAGTTGTTGTGTTATAGCCCACATTGACCGTTTATTGGTACGATGAAGTGGCGGACAGGGTCTACTCGGTGACCATGTACGACGACGAGAGTTTCCGTACGCTTATGTACCACTGCTTCGGAGGGAGTGGCGACGGCGCTATCTCGCAGGGCGTTGTTAGCTCGCAGAGCACCAGGCCGTCCTGGCGCCACGCCTGTGGCGTCATCGTTGCATACCTCGTCGCTCTTTATCTCTCCTACAAGGCTACTGCTGCTTATGTCTCGTTCACGAAGTACATGTAGATGATCACCGTTTCCTGGATCTTCGAGGTCTTAGTTCAATTGTTTTCATTTTCCCTCCCCTCCTTTCCTTTCCGTTCCCTTCTCTTCCGTTCCTCCCCTTCCTTTCCGTTCCCTCCGTTCCCTTCCTTCCCCTCCTCCTCCCCTCCTCTCTTTCCTCTAGCACAATCACCGCATTGCCCATCGAATCACGCCGTAGTAATTTAGAATACAACCCGAGGACCTTCGCTCCTACACCTCAGCCATGCCCCTTGTGCCACTGACGCTGCGCTTGCGCGGCCGTGCGCGAGCGACGAACGTGTGCGAGTGCCAGTGGGACGACGGCATGCATATTTCGAGCATGTTGTCCTCATTGTCGTCGCTGTGACCCAGACAAGCTCGGCCTCCGCTCGCGCGCGTCCTCCGCTCCCATCGCGCGTGCGCGCGTTGATCGGCGAAGCTCGAAGGCGTGCATGTGGGCGTCTACTGGCGGACGATTTCGATTAGTAGCGACGTACCGATAGCCCCGAGGCGACGGAGACCTTCTTCTACCTGCTCGGCCTCGGCTGCAGTGAATTGTTGGGTGCGTGTGCAGATGCGGTGGGCGAGGCGTGCGGGTGGGTCGCGGAGCGGGTGGTTCGATGGAAGGAGCAGAGCAGAGCAGGGCGCAGAGGCCGGGGAGGATGGCGGAGGTGAGGTTCAAGGTCCATAGCACGCTGAATAGGTTCAGGAAGGGGTATAGGTGCGTCGGGATGCTCATCCGCGATACTAACGAGCAGTACGTGCGTTGCCATAAGATGCTCGATCCGTATCGGTCTGCGTTTGACTCTAGCCATGTCGGCTCGCCTGGTGCGGACGCGACCTCCGAGCCACCGCCGCATCGATGGTGCATACACATTTGTTTTCACTCGGCGCGCGCTTAGCGTCACTACGTGCGACTGAGAGCGACGCATACATTGATAGTGAGAGCAGCCTTCTTAACTGAAAGAGACAACATAAAGAGATGTAGATTACAGCGTGTTGTGAACTTGAAAAGGACAAGGCATAGACAGTCTCATAACTCGCTCAGTAGTAATCCGAGCCTAGCTCACGCATAGAGCGTGCACGCCGGATTGCCGGCACAGCAGTCGAGAGGTCCAGCGACAAGTGTTCCAGAGCATTGACTGTGATGTTTGATCGCTGTTCCCCATTGATGTTCCCTTCAACTAAGAAGCGTATGCCCCAAGCACGCTGAGATCCTCGGTGCGTCAGTATGTTGTACACAGCATTGAATTTAATTTTACCCACCCTTTCGAAGACCTGGACAACGTGAATAGTAGTCGTAGTATGGGCAAAGTAGCCAAGGTTGATGCGCATGAAGTCTAAGGGTATATAACGTTAGGACAGACAGTATTGAGCCAAGGAGACTTCACTTACCGGACAAATTGTGTCGGAGGTGGCGCCTCCATTCGCGGCTCAACTGCCCCGCCCGAGGGGGTCCGGGCTCTCTGTACACGTGAGGGTGCGTCATGGCGGTCGCTTGCGCGAGGACAGCACTGTTCTGGCTCGCCGACATAAGCTCTCTGCCCAAGAAGATCACTCGAGGGCACTCACCCATTCGTGACGTTCATAGGGACGATCAGCGACATTCCAATCGATCTCAACGCGATCTTCGACAATGTCCAGCCACTCGAGGGCATAAGTGAAATAGTTACAGAGCAACCGGATGCGGTGCTGCCGTAATTGTCAATGAGTATTCAAGACTCTGTTGAGCATGAATGAATTGAATCAGTGGCTCACCAGCACCCCAATGACCTGGCAATAGGTGACATGTGCCGGGATTCCAGTAATGTCGACAGGGGATAAAGTCACAAGCAGGGAGGCTGCAGAACTGATGTTTTCCAGTTCATCATCGGATAAGTAACGCGGGTTGGTGAGCTGGAGCCATCGGGGAGTGGCCATCCTTCGACAATTGCCAGGTGAGAGTTGAGGGACACCGACTCTCCAGCCGGTCGAATCTTATATAGTCACGCCAGCATGTGCTGCTTTGTCTGCGTACGAATCTGTTGATGGATGCGCAGATCCACCTGGCTGAGAGGTGTGGACAATGCAGTACAGTTCCAAAGTCACACCTTCGTGCCTTTTCGCTGCCCTTCTGGCCTCGATTTTCAATGCTAAGTCGTCAGGTAGGATTCTCAGAACGTTCAGACGGCCTGCCAGACTACCCAGCTTGTCACTGAGATCAGCCAGGACATATGGATCAACTCAATCATATTCTATTGATCACTACTTACTACCGTATACAACTTACACAGACGGGCGCGGGCCCCGCACCCACGTCGACGACCTTCCTCACACTTTTAGGCCGTCAATTTCGCTTTCTCGACACCTCCATCCGACCGTTTTTGACCCATGGGGTCGAGAAATAGCGTCGCGGAGCCCAGAAGACGAGTAATCCGCAAGCTGGACGAAAAAGACATGCTACGCGATGTTGCACGAGCGTCACGCGTGTGGCGCGAAAGCCTCCTCCTCGGACTTAATAGTTAGCGGGCAACTGCTTACTCAACGGTGAAAGTGGCGCTGGCGACGCGCCCTGAGGATGAGGCTTGTTGACCGGCACCTCACCCCCTCCTACTGCTAAGTAAAAGTTTCCCCCTTCGCTACGCCCGTTACCGACGTCAGTGCTGGCTTTCATCCGGTCAAACAGCGAGACTCCAACCTTGGGCATGTGCGCGCCGCGAAGACCAACGCGCCGATGAAGACAAGCCGCGAACCGGACGCAACCGGCGTACGCAGTACTCGCCAATGTGAGCGCGGGGATCCTCTAGCCACTACAGTGGTTGCATATCCGCACTCGGGGAGCTTACTAGCTCGGGCCTGCAAGGCTGGATGGGGAGGCGAGTGGAGTAGTGCACAGAGGCGATCAAATTACGTTTCGCTGCCTCCAGGTACACTCCGTCATACTGCCACTGTCCGCGCACAACACGTCCTCGTCCTCGTGCAGCCTGCGTGCAACGTCCCTGCGCCGCGAGAGGGCGCACACCCGGAGCGCCCGCCGCCTGCGCAGGTGCTATTGTAGTATCTCGACCGCGTCCTCCACCAGTCGACCAGTCACGCCATCGCCTGCTGCAATTTCTGCTCGTCGCCATCCCACCGCCTTGCCCTTGCCCCTCCCGTGCTCACCGCGATGCCAGGTCGACGCGCGCAGCCGAGACGAGCCCGCCGACATCTCGAATGCCCATGGACAGCGAACATGAGCGGGCGGGGAAGGAGCGCGATGAAGAGCGCGTCCCAGTATTGACGCCATGCGGACGTGTATGTGGGCGATGCGAGAGGTGCGTACGTATGCTGGCGCTGCATGAACTGATGGCTAAGATACAGTTGGCGATGACAGGCGGGTTGAGCGCAGCTGCGTCGATCTGTGTACGTGTGCACGGGGACTGAGCGGAGGTGGAGGCGGCGCGGTGGCATAGCAGCCGGGTGGCGGTGTCGTACACCAGGTCAGTTCTTATCGTTGGGCATGTGACGGTGAAGTGACCACTGGATGTGGGTGCGCAGGTTCCTCATAGTCGTCCTGAGCGCATACCACCGGATCTGTTCGCAATCCAACGGCGTCCTACGCAACATCTCGGTGGCAACCTCGACAAGGCATCTGCCTTCTTGCGCCCCAGTGCGTAGTCCGCTCCCTCCGTTCTCCCTCCCCTCGCTATGCAGCAGTCGCTGACTACTGCTGCTCGCGCGCAGTCATCCAAGGCGACGCAGAGATTCCGCACGACCCGCGCAGACCCGCGCAGCACCCGTACTCGCCGCCGCCGTCGTCGTCACGAAACTCGAGGCTCTAATCGACCTGGGCAGCAAGGAGATGCTATCCTTCGCGGAGCAACAGACCATCCAGGGGCAATCCAACGTGAATCGGCGGCATATGGATGGATTTTACCGTACCAATGGGCTGAGGGTCGCCAGAGAGGATGCGTGCATTGAGGGAGCACAGTCCACGCCTGTACGCCCGCAGGTAATGTTTAGTTTTCATCTTGAACTATAGCGGTTGGACTGACGAGGCGCAAGGAAAAATACGGCTGAAGGGTGGTCCCTCGTCTGCTCTGGACGTTTCCCTTGACGCAAGCGAGGACGGCGACTCGGACAGCAGCTTCTCGAGCTCGAACCTCCTCTTGACGCCTGCGCAACACGGAACAGATCATGTCGGTGCACATGGGGAATACGGGCCCTCGGGAAGTTTCCGGTCTGATCACGTACTCAAGGCCTCATGCAACATCCAACACGCAGGGCGTCCAGTACCGCCGACGACGAACAGGATGAGAATGTGGCCTACCCATCGGGCCTCTAGTTGTCCACGGAGCTTCTCAGCTCCAGCAAGACAAGAACCGGAAACCGAGCGGCAGAACGATCCCAGTCAGCACTCCCCATAGCTTCGCACACCTTAGGCCTGCCTTCGAACTTAGAGACATCCTCCAGAGCTCGCTCCTCCGGTCCTGCAGCCCGGGCACGCGTTGTATGCTGTCAACCCCATGCAAGCCCATTCGTGGTACCCCGCTCAGGCGTATGCCGAAGCTGCAAACCCTGTCTATCGCCCTCATAAGCCGACGTTGTAGCCGCCGTACGTGCCCCCAGTCCCGAGTCTGCCGCAGGAAGGGTAGTGGGAGCGCGGAAATTCCATCACGATGTTGCAGGATGCTATTGCTGCGCCTGCGTGTTCTACGGCATCGCTGGGAAGTAGTCAAGAGACGAACAAAGGCAAGCGGCAAGACTCAGATGGGCAGCGCGGCGGTCGGACGAAGACCTATTTCTGCAGGATGTAGGACTCGGCCGTCGAGCTTTCAAGCAGCAACCAAATGCCATAATTCGCGTCGACGAATTCTTCCGTCCCCTACGTATACATTTGTTCTCCTATCATTACTTTGACAAGAATGTAGCGGCGGATCCTGCGGTGTCTATACATTATGCCCAGGATATTGATCGCGCCTGCCCGAGGTGCCCTGACTTGTTCCGTGGATGGGTGCGCGAGCGAACGGGCGAACGGAAAGGCGAGCGAATGGGCGAACGAATGGGCGAACGAATAAATGGGCGAAGGAATGATTGCGAATCAATGCCAGTCGATAAAGCAAGTACTGGGCCCGTGTACACTTATTTAGTAGCGACGTACCGATCAGTGGTCTTCGATCTAGATCTAGGATAATCACATCGGTGAAAGTGCACGAACTCGGACGCACTGCCGGCGACGCACCCTGAGACTTGTTGCCCGGCACCTCACCGTCTCCTAGTCTCCGGTCGCCTCGATATCATGATTGGATCCTCAAACCACGTCGTGTCCAGCAGTATTGCCACGAAGATGAAGGAGGCAAACATGGCGATGGCGAAGGTAATGAGGGAGGAGGAGGAGGAGGAGGAGGAGGAGGAGGAGGAGGAGGAGGAGGAGGAGGAGGAGGAGGAGGGTCATGCCGCAGATGAAGACGTGGATGAACTCGAGGAGAGCGATGTCGACAGCCCAGAACGTGCGGAGGAGCGGCGCCAAGTGAACATCAAGGTCAGTGTACCATACGTTCACACTTGTTGTGCCGTTCACAACGTTCTCCGTTAGTTCCACGGCGACTATAGATGTGATTACTGCAAGCGTGCTGAGGAATGGGCACAAAAACGGGCAGCGAAGGTTGGGAAGGGCCCCAGTGAAATCACACCGTTCATTTGCACGATCTCTGGGAGACGGAAGCGTTGCGACTTCTGCTCAAAGGGCCGGCGCACACCCTGCTCGCTTCAGGTGAGTGTTTGCTCGTCCTTACGCCGCATTCAATGATGTGCTGAATTTTGGACACAAGCCATATCTCATCAACAATTTGGTCAGCGTCGATAAGGACCTTGTCGGCACATACACAATCAACCACGCTCCCGAGGCCACAGTTACTGGCATCGAGTCCAACAACAAGATCTACTCGGCAGTCCGCGTACAGGACGGTTTGCCTCGAACGAAGCGTATGACCAGCCCCGCAAAGCCCAAGCGCAAGAACGCAGTGAAAGCAGCGAAAAGGGTCGCAAGGGTTCGCAGCAGCGCAAGCCAGCCCCGCAAGCGTGCTCAGCCGCGCACACCTATCGCCACCTCAGTAACTGGATCGTCTTCGCATTCAAATGACTCGCAAAGTCATGTCGAGACCGATCTTCTGAGCCAGGAGGGATCTCGTCTCCGCAGCACTGCGGAGGAGGCCCTAGATGGCCTGTGCAGTGATGTCCGCAGACTCGAGAGCGAGATGTACGAACTTCGCAACACATTGGAAGCCGAGCGGGCATTCCGGAAGGAGGTAGCAGTCGATCTCGCCAAACTTCGCAGTGAGATGGATGACCTACGCGCCGGCGCTGGTGTGCGCTCCTTGGCCGCTCTTGAACTGGATATATCAGCGTTCGTTGCCAAGGTTAGGAGGCAGTTGGGCAGTGTCGATGATCGCGATGATCTTGGCGTAAGTTCATGTCCATGACTTATGTTTCCCCCGCTGATGACTGGTATGAACCCTGTTACCTGTTAGACGACCCATCAAGCGGCTTGTATGTCCAGTGAGCCTAGCGAAGGCAACGACGGCCACGGTGCTACAGTGAATATAACTGCACCGATCATGGCACCCTCTGGTCCCAATGTTGGACATCGCACGGAGATCTCGTAATGACACTATAGTGCCTTCGATTTTGGAGACAATACACAGTACATGCCGCTGGGTAGGTTGGTGCAATGCGCGACGTGTAGAGTACCGAGGCAGCTTCGCAGTGTGTATACTATCAGATTGTACTACGTGCGAGTGCAACGCACCCGCCGCGAAACGTCTATACTCGTTTACTTTCTTCGATGGCACGGCGTAGACCAATATTGTTTCTCCGTTACGCCTACGGACAACACCAGCTCGCAATGTCGATAGCTCTTCTCCCACTAAGCAGCTCCTCCGCGCGCGACTCGGGGCGTCGATGCTCTATGTTTTCGAATTCGCGATCGACATACTAGTAAGGATGTCGCGGCGCTAATGCCGACTTACGTCATCCTCTCACGCCTCGCAACCTCCGACGACTTGCAGCCCGTCGTGCTACATGCGGCGGCGCTCAACGCTCACGGCGTCCACCATCCCGCAGCTGCAGCCCCGTCGCACCCCCGCCGTCGCCGTCACTGTCCGTCCGAGGCCTACCTGGAACGAAGGGACCCGCCAGCTGGCGGGTTGAAGCGCGGCGGCTTAGCCCGCGAGGCCGTCCGCCAGGTCGACATGGGAGCCGACATAGGGTGTCGGCGCGACGAATCCTTGCGGAACGTCGGCGGGACGGGTCGCTTCTATGCGGGGAATTGTAAGTGCGTTCTCTGCGTGTCCTCACGCAACGCAAAGCTGACCTATACGCAGGAGACTGTCGCCGATATCGATGGCGGATTCACCGCCACCCGAAATCGACCCACAGGTCCAAGGCGACGACCACCCTCGTTTCACGCCCTCGATCGTGGACGGGATAGTGTCAGCTGCGCGGGTCATTCTCAGCGATCGCAGCGTAGGGCGCGTCGTTGTCGCAGCAAAGCGACAGAAGACAAGGGCGGCGAGCTTCAAGTCACGCAGTCGGTGGAGCGGTACCGTAGGAGGGCCATGCCAGGGCGCGAAGAAGAGGTGCGTGGTGTGAGATGTCTCCTCCATTCGATGCTCACCTGTCGTCCTCGATGGATAGCAAACACCTTACCACGTACTTGCCGCGCCGAATGCGCGGGTGATAGCGACGCTTCGTGCGAAGGTATCCGAACTGCAGCCCGTCCGTCGCCTCCGTCTCGCCCCGGTCGTCCGTTTTGGTTTCGACCATGCGTTGATGACCGGGCGGTGAGCTCCTGCTCTTGATGAGCGGTAGAGCGAACCTGCTCCTGGTCGTTGTTCATGCCCTCCCTCAAGTCGCGCTCTCAGTCTTTATTGCCCATCCTGCCGTCCCTCTGTCCTCCACACTGAGCCCGAGTCGATAAGACACTCGTGTTATCCCCGCCCTCTCGTGTCGTTTCTTACGTCGGATCATCCGTTACGCCCGGCTGCCACCGCCTCCGCGAGCTCCCATACAGGCTCAGAGAATTCCTCACCTAGCCGCGGACGTGCCCGCACCCGTTGTTCAGGTCGGCTCGGAACTGCGGTCTGTCAAGGATGGGCCGGTGAAGCGAGTAGGTCGTTCTGTGTCGACGCCCCATGATGGACATGGCGGCACAGTTCCAAGTTCCAAAGGTCACAAGTGAAGGCCACGTTGTTCGACACGGGCACTGACTTCTCCTGATCCCTCTCTGACTCCCGCTGCCGCTTGGGTTCCCCCTCCTTCCCCATCACCCTGGCGGACGCGCCGTGCCTCTGCACCCTCGCCCTCCGCGCGCTCGCCTTCGACGACGAGCTGTTTGACACGTACTGCACCGAGCTGCCGTCTGACGGATACCACACGAAGCCGATGACACGCCCGACTCATCGCCAGAGAAGGGGATATTGATTTTAAAGATGTCGACCCCAGAGATCTTCCGCTCGTCCTGAAGCAAGTGAGCTTCGCTGTGCGCCCGGGGGGGAGGTACGTGCATCTCCGATGATCCCTTCATTCGCGCTCATCCAGTCGGCTAGATCGGCATCGTAGGTCGCACAGGCGCAGGAAAGCGCTTGCTCATGCACGCGCTGTTTAGGTACGCTGCTCTTCGTGCGGCGCGCATCCTCAGATTGATGTTTTCTCTAATGCAGCACGGTGAACATCGCCTGGAGATCGACGGCGTGGACGCGCGCTATATCGGGCTGAAGACACTGCGTGCGCAGCCGCCTTGCTCTCGTCCCGCAAGACAACGTGCTCTTCAAGGGAACACTCCGTCAGAACCTGTACGTCCACTGTCATGCACACCACGTTGACGATGCCTGATCAATATTCCCGTAGAGACTCAGAGGGCACCCGCACGGATGCGCAATTGATCTCTGCCATCCAGCCGACGTGGCTACTGCCGCAGAACGGGGCGCATGACGCCGTGGCGGAGGCGAAGTTCAGTCTGGACTCTCTCGTCGGCGACGAGGAGAGCAACTACTCCGCTGGCGAGAAGCGGATGTTGGTGCTCTATCGGGCGTTGGCGAAGAACAGCCGCATCATCGTCCTCGTCTGGGATGTGTAAGCGCTTGTTGGCGTCTAGTACGGCACCGGAGGTCCGGCCAGAGTCGCCTTGAGCGCTTGTGCGCCCGCCCCGTCCTCCCGTCCTACGCCGACCTCTGGTCTCTTTCAACAGCATTCGTGCTCTGCTATGTCCACCTCAGCCCCTCTCTATGCCTCAATTCTGGTACAACAGACGTCCGCTTTGGTTTCGACCATGCGTTGTTATTTGAGCCGGGGAGCTCCTGCTCATTTATGAGCAGTTGAGTCAACCTCACCGTTTCCACGAGATGCCGACCCTCCGGGCTCCAACATTCTACCCCACGAAGGCTTGAAGATGCTTAGCACCATTAAGTATCAGCGATGTGTGCCGTCTAGAGCCCAATGAACGCTGTACGCGCGATGGTCCCTTCGATATTGCAACGAAGATATCTCAAGAGGCCGACAACCGATTCTCGACATTAGGCCCTGCTGTCCCCGTTTTGCAAGAACATGGTCGATGAATCAACCGAGTGTGACCCACCCCGCAGAAGCCGTGCGTGCAGGTGCCCGTGACCAACGTCCGCATCGCGTCTGACCTCGCATGCTCGATTCGCCTCGAGCAGCCAGATGAACCGGCGGGCGGGCGAATGAACAGACGGATGAGTGAGCGGATGTACGGACGGACGAGTTTGCGGGCGAGTTGGTTCTTTGCGAACGCACGACCTCTACGGGACGAATTGGCGTCGCGAGTTGTGCGCCCTTGACTGTCTTCTCGCCGACCACACCAAGGATATCTCCGTCAAAAGTGGGAGCCCGAGCAACTAATCGTCACGATCTGGCACGGCTCGGCGCTCGAATCCGCCTTCTCTGCCGTCGTCGTCGAAGACTCCTCGCTTTGCTGGACCGTTGCCGGAGACCCCCAGTGGTGACATCGGCGAGCGAACATCTGCGCCTTCTTGGTCGCAATGAACGCCTGGCCGGACTCCACCCCCCTCCCCCGCTGCGAATGCAGATAAAGGGCGTTGATACGTGCGAGGACGTCGACGCTTTCCAATGAAACGGAGGCTGTCGCCATCCACTTCTACGTCAAGATATTCGATCGCGAGCCGCCGCTCAGCAGACAATGCAAGCCTGCGCCACATGAGTATATAAAGCGAAGGCGAAGTCGACCAACGTGTAGGAAAGCAAGCCCCATGTCCTCCCCTTCTCCCTCGGTCAGCGCCCTCTCCGATAACGTCGTCGTCGTCCGCTCTGGGAGGCTCCCCGACAAGTGAGTTGGTCGCCCTTCCTTCATGAGTTGTACCGCTGAGCATCAGTTGACAGAAGAATTCTTGTCTTCTATGTGGCGGAATATCGACTGGTCGCAACTGTTGGCGGCGGGAGCATCATGAGGCCTGGACACCTGGTCTTCATACCTCTCCCTGGCGGTCGTTGTGAGTCTGCCCTTCCAACTCGTTGCTCTCGGCCCGCCACTGACGGCTGCCTCCCGCAGATGCCTTCTTCTGCTGCGGGCCTCGCGAGGTGCGAGGAAGGCCGATCGGCTCATGGAACGTTCAAATCGTTGTCCAAGAGGTGAGCGCGCAGCCGGTTCAATGGCTCAGTCACTGAGTTGTTGTGCTATAGTCTACATTGACCGTTTATTGGTCCGATGAAGTGGCGGACAGGGTGCACTCGGTGACCATGTACGATGACGAGAGTTTCCGTACGCTTGTGTGCCATTGCTTCGGAGGGAGTGGCGACGGCGCTATCTCGCAGGGCGTTGTTAGCTCGCAGAGCACCATGCCGTCCTGGCGCCACGCCTGTGGCGTCATCGTTTTGTACCTCGTCGCTCTTTATCTCTCCTACAAGGCTACGGCTGCTTTTGTCTCAGTCACGAAGTACATGTAGAGGATCACTGTTTCCTGGATTTCGAGAGGCCTTGATCTTTTTCCCTTCCCTCCCTTTCTTCCCTTGCTCCTCTCACCCTCTTCTCTTTCCACAAGCGCAATCGCTACGTCGCGCATCGAATCTCGCCGTAATACTGTAATTATGATTTAATGTGTTTCAATACAACCCGAGGACCTCTGCTCCTACACCTCAGCCATGCCCCTTGTGTCACTGACGTCGCATTTGCGCGGCTGCGCGCGAGCGACGAACGTGTACGAATGCCAGTGGGACGACATCATGCACATCTCGGGCATCTTGTCTTCACTGTCGTCGCTATGATGCAGAAGAAGCTCGCGCACGTCCTCCGCTCGCTCCAGCTGGCATCGGGCGTGCGCGCGTTGATCGGCGAAGCTCGAAGGCGTGCGTTGACATCAAGACATCCTTTCTGTGCTGCGACGACCTGAGGTGACGAGTCCGATCCACCATCTGGCTGTCCAAGCTCCTCCGCGCGCGACTCGAGGTGCCGATGTTTTCGAATTCGACATGAGGATCTCGCGGCGCTAATGACGAATTACGTCATGCTCTCACGCCCCGCAACCTCAGCGCTTCAGTCCGACGACGCGCAACGCTCACGGCGTCCACCATCCCGCAGCTGCAGCAGCCCCATCGCACCCCCGCCGTCGCCGTCACTGTCCGTCCGAGGCCTACCTGGAACGAAGGGACCCGCCAGCTGGCGGGTTGGAGCACGGCGGCTTAGCCCGCGAGGCCGTCCGCCAGGTCGACATGGGAGCCGACATAGGGTGTCGGCGCGACGAATCCTTGCGGAACGTCGGCGGGACGGGTCGCTTCTATGCGGGGAATTGTAAGTGCGTTCTCTGCGTGTCCTCACGCAACGCAAAGCTGACCTATACGCAGGAGACTGTCGCCGATATCGATGGCGGATTCACCGCCACCCGAAACCGACCCACAGATCCAAGGCGACGACCACCTCCGTTTCACGCCCTCGGTCGTGGACAGGATAGTGTCAGTAGCGCGAGTCAGTCTCAGCGATCGCAGCGTAGCGGGCGCGTCTGTGTCGCAGCAAAGCAACAGAGACAAAGGGCGGCGAGCTCCAAGTCGCGCAGCCAGTGGAGCGGTACCGTAGGAGGGCTACGCCCGGGCGCGAAGAAGAGGTGCGCAGTGTGAAATGCAATCTCTCGTTCGATACTAACTCGTTTTCCTCGACGGACAGCAAGCCCCTTACCATGTACTTGCCGCCCCGGATGCGCTGGCGAAGACATCGCTTGCTGCGAAGATACCCGAACTGCAGCCCCCGTATACGGGAGGCATTGCTATCCTTGAACCATATCGTTTCGTCTTGCGTTGGCAACGCAAGACGAAACGATCTGGTGCTTCCTTCGCATCGAGGTCTACACGGGGTTGTTTCCTTGGACTGGCTCCACGCCTCGCCCGCCCGTCCGTCGCCTCCGTCTCGCTCCGGTCGTCCGTTTTGGTTTCGACCATGCGTTGATGACCGGATGGTGAGCTCCCGCTCTTGGTGAGCGGTAGAGCGAACCTACTCGCTGTGGCGTAGTTTCTCAGTGTGTTTGTCTGTGCGCTTCTCACTGCTGCAATTCGTCGCCTGCGCGCGCTGGATGCAGTGAGCCGTAGGGTCGAGCGCGGGACGACCCGGTTCGCGTATGAGGTGCAGAGCGTGCTCAAGGCGGAGATGGCAGACAGGTGACCGCTCGGCCACGCAGGATATCACACTCTACGGTCTGGGGCGATTGGCCGTGAGTAATTGTCGACGAGTCCACTGCACTCGGTGCAAGCAAGGAGCCCGAGGAAGCGCAGCCTGAGCTGATGCAGGTACGCTGCTCCAGTATTTCCACTCTTCCCTCGCTCACAATGATACGCGCAGAATCGTTGACTGGCATTAGCGCCGTCCGTGCATACGGAGAAGAGGTGAGTATCGCACCGGAATGACACAGTCGTACCCGGGAACGTATGCCCGTGCAGGGCAGATTCGTTCGGAAGACGGAGCACGGCCTTGACGTAGAGAACAGGGCCCACTACATGGTCATCGCGACCCAGCAGTGGCTGAGCGCTCTGCTCGACCTACTCAGCGACATCCTCGTCCTCGACGTCGCGCGATTCACGGCCAGGTTCAGCCAGACGATCAGCCCGAGCAAGGTCGACATCGTCCTGTCGTACAGATTGAGCAATGCGTGCCTCTCTGCCCTCCAGCACGAGTTCGCGCAGAGTCTCAGCCGCACGGTGCGGTTCTCCGAAGTGGTAACAAGCATGCACGGTCCGCTCTTCCCGATGGACGAGGCACCCACCCTTCAATCGCAGGCTCGTAGGAGCCGATCACAGCGAGAGCTCTTCGCCAGCTTGTTTGATTCGAAAGACTGCGAGGATGAGCGTGCGCTTGCTAAGGGAAGGCACGAGGTCGAAGCGGGCAAGCATGCAGGCGGAAGCCACAGGACGTGGATGTGTTGCAAGCGATCCTCATCGTCCGTGCCTAGCAGCGGGTCGGCCATCTCCTCATCGGCATTGACCATCACCCAATTCTTGGTTCTCCTTCGGCAGCTGCAGCTCGGCGTCGACCGCTCTGACGACGCCTTCCTTCTCCCTGCATTCTTCAAGTCGCCCTTTCAGTCTTTATCACCCATCCTGCTGTCCTCTGTCCTCTACACTGAGCCCGAGTCGATAACCTCGTGTTATTCCTGCCCTCTTGTATCAATTCTTACGTCGGATGACCCGTCACGCCCGGCTGCCACCACCTCCGCGAGCTCATACAGGCACAGAGAATTCCTTACCTAGCTGCGGGCGTGCCCGCACCCGTGGTTCAGGTCGGTGTGCTTCCATTCCGGAGCTGCAGTCTGTCGAGGATGGGCTGGTGAAGTGAGTAAGTCGTTCCGGGTCGACGCTCATGGACACGGTGGCACGGTTACAAAGAGCGTGTGTGAAGGCCACGTTGTTCAGCATCGGCACTGACTTCTCTTGATCCCGCGGCCGTTCGGGCTCCCGCTCACCTTCCCCATCACCCTGGCGGTCGTGCCGTGCCTCTGCGCCCTTGCTCTCCGCGCGCTCGCCCTCGACGTCAGTGTCTTGCTCTCCGCGACAGTGGTCGACGACGAGCTGTTTGACACGTACTACACCGATCTGCCGTCTGACGGAGACTACACGAAGCCGAACGACACGCCCGTCTCATCGCCAGAGAAGGGGGCATCGATTTCAAGGATGTCGACCACGGAGGTCTTCCGCTCGTCCTGAAGCAAGTGAGCTTCGCCGTGCGCCCAGGGGAGAAGGTGCGTGCATCTCCAATGGTCCATTCCTTCGTGCTCATCCTGTCGGCTGGATCGGCATTGTGGGTCGCCCAGGCGCAGGAAAGTGCTCGCTCATGTAGGCGCTGTTCCGGTACGTTGCTCTTCGTGCGGGGGGCCTCCTCAGATTGACGTTTTTCATGCAGCACGGTCAACATCGCCTGGAGATCGACAGCGTGGACACGCAAAATATCGGGCTGAAGACAGCCTTGCTTTCATCCCGCAAGACAACGTGCTCCTCAATTCCCGTAGAGACCCAGAGGGCACCCGCACGGATGCGGAATTGATCTCTGCCCTCCAGCGGACGTGGCTGCTGCCGAAGGACGAGGCGCATAACGCCGCAGCGGAAGCTCTCGTCGGCGACGAGGGGAGCAACTACCCCGTTGGCGAGAACGTGATGTTGGCGCTGTCGGGCGTTGGCGAAGAACAGCCGCATCATCATCCTCGTCAGTCTCGGTTCCGCCGTGCTCGTACAGGGGTTTGGGCGCTGATGTCGATCGTTATAGGACGAGGCGACGAGCAACTTTGGCATGGAGATGGACGCGAAGCTGTTCTCGGTGAATTGGTCATCGCGCTGAATGCGGTAGGTTTTACATATAATAGTCGGTAGTGTATAGTCGTTCTCAAACCGCTGTGTCGGTGGTCATGTTGCCGAAATTAGATCTAAATTGCTTTTACCATTAGTGGCCGCTAGTCGGTATCGAGCTGACTGTCAAGATCGCTGTGGATGTCAATACATGTCGTAGTTGGTATCGTGTCCACTGTCGACGTCGCTGTTGAGATCGTTGTCGGGATCGTTGTCGACGTCCGGTCGCTGTCGACGTCGCGGTCGAGATCGCTGTCGACGTCGCGGTCGAATCGCTGTCGCGTGGTCGGTCGGTCGCGGTCGACATCGCTGTCGACGTCGCGGTCGAGATCGCGGTCGGTGTCGCGGTCGGTGTCGCGGTCGGATCGCGGTCGAGATCGCGGTCGATGTCGCGGTCGAGATCGCGGTCGAATTTGCTATCGTGTTGTCATGTACCAGGTCTGGAAAGTTCGTATATTATCTGAGTATTCTGAACGAGTACATATAGGATAGCCCTTCCCTGATTCATGCATGTCCTGGGTCAGGAAAGCTATCATTGTCTTACAATCTGTTCGAGAAAAGTGTGCGAGGAATATTTAGCGTGCTCTCGACGTATTTGAGCGGAACTTATTACGTGACCCATATTTGGGCAACAAACATTTGTATTGTATTGTACAATGTCCGACATCCGTGTATCTTTAGAATACTTAAGTAGTACCCACAATATTCTTGTGCAAAGTATTGTCAGGATTCTTTAGCTAATCATCACATGCCCTCAGCATATTCCTGCCCAGAACATCGCATTTTGCCCCCAGTGTCAGGCACTCTGGCGTTAGATCACGGGCGGTACTTATCCTGACATCCAGCGCCCCGCAATCGCAACAGCAGTCACAAAAGCTGTTCTAATCGCAATCAGTTGCCATCAAAGGTTCTGCAACCCTCTTCGCGCGATGACAAGTGATGTTGTGCTCGAGGGCCGACTCGGAGGCCTGTTAGTAAAGTCCAGGGCATACAGCTCCTGTCCAAATATGGTAATCACCCTCTGAGTCCGCACTTGGCTAGGCTCGTTCCCAGCCGTTCTGGCGAGAAGAGATTTAAACTCCGTCGTGGCACTCCTCGCGTTCGCCAGAACGGCTGGTATAATTGGGCGCGCTTTACCTGAGTACTCCCGTGGGAAACGGGACTTAGAGATATCGCGGCACGACCCATTGAGAGCTCATGAGCAGATGAACAGCCCGGGTCGCTTTCTGCGCAGAGGGCTTGTAGATAGGCTGTGTAACATATGAGAATGTAATTCAAATACCAAACTCGAAGTTGTCGAGGCGGTCAGGGTCAAGTGCTACGTCGCCCGGCATATCAAGTGAGAACATGTTCTGACCCTCATCGTAATCTTCGTCTTCGCCATCGGAGTCCTCCTCTCCCTCCGGGTCGAACTCTGCATCCGAGTTCACGTCACTGTGTTGCTCAGCTACGATGTCCGAGAGCTGGACTGGAGCCTCAATATGAACATCACTTGCTACTCCAGTGGACGGCTGTGACTGTGGCTCCGAGGACTGAGGTGTTGCGGAAGATGCAGTCGAGCTATGCGTTCCGAGGCCTGGATACTTGCCGCCTGTAAGAGGCGTGGATTGACAGCGTGCTTGTAGTTTCGAGAACTCCTCGTTGAAGACTCCAAGTGGCCCCTCCAGAAGTTCGAGCCCAACAGTCAGCGCATCCGGTACAACAGGGTTGTCGTCGTCGATGGTGCGGCCAGGATGAAGTTCGTACACACGATGATGACGCAGGGAGTCCATGAGCAGCGTGATGTCCTTTTCGATGCTTGGATTGGTATGTTTCGATCCTATCTTCGCTCCGAGAGACGTGTTCATTTGGGTAGATAGGCGGCGCAGAATGTCAATGCATGGTGAGATCATCGCGAGCCACTCCCATGATGCATTGACCCCATGAGCCCTATATATTGTCTTACAGGTGCACCGTGAGCCATCAGCAATTCACTCTTTGAGATTTGCACCGTCAAAGTGCTCACTTTGATCCAGAAGTTCATGTGCTCCTGGAAGAGGTCAACCTCGACCCAGGAGTCCGGTTTCCCGGTCGGGTTGATGAGCCAATTCTCAAGCACAATCTTCCTGTCTCCGTGAGTACAAGGTTCTACTCGTCAGCAAGGCTTCTGTATGATCATCAGATGTGCACGACGTACCGTAGTCCCTCGGGCCATACATGAGTCAAATTGTGACACAGGAATAACACTTCCTGCGCATACTTGGTACGTCCAGATCCTCGATATATCATGCCCAGTGCCTTCAGGAGCAAGACGACGTGGCCAGACACACCTGCCTTGATCGCGTCTGTGAGTGCACGCAAGACAAGAGCGTCACGCATAAATAAGAGTGCGTTCTCATACACCATGTCCCCTTGAAGACGGTCGTTTTCTCGAGGCGGTGGCTCGGCGCTGACTTGCGCTAAGTCATGCGACTGCTCTTCTGCCGCATTTCTGGCTGGCTGGGCCGTGGCGGTGGAGTCGGAGTCGCCTCTGCGACGGATTTCAGCAGCGCGTGCTGTGCGCAAGCGACTTACAGTGCGACTACTGGTATAGCGGTCCACTATCTCGGCCACGTGTGCTTGTAACTGTGTCCAGGACACATGTTTACTGTAGTCTTCTAGGGATGCGCATGAACTGACCGCTTCCAGGCAGATGAGCACTCGAGCATAGAGCGACACGAAAATGAGATCCTGGCATGTGCGGAATGGTGGTAAGCTGGTGAGGGTGATGGGTTTTCGGTCGAGAACGGTGTTATGAAAGGCAAGTGAGCCGGGGTTGCGGTGACTCGTGGTATGTCCATAGTGCAGCTCCATGAAGCCGTGTACGCCAGCCATCTTGTAATGGAAGAATCCTGGCATGACGACAGCCCATAGAAATGAGTTAGAAAAGCTGTCATGCCCCGAGCGGTTCTTCATGAGAGTTCGAAGACGTGCGATGGACAACTGGTCGCCAGCAATGACCTGGACCACTTTGCCGAAGTCTTCGCTGCTCATGTCCTTGCCAAGCTCAGCAAGAACGGCCTTCGTCACCTCCGCATTTCCAACCGTGGTCGACTCGTCAATCTTCATGGAAGGAACAGGGTATACGTTGGTGCGGTGCAAAGGTATGCGTGTGTCGAGCAGAGGGCCATAACCTTCAACATTGGCTTTGAAGCGCGCAAAATGCTCACCGCCATGAGCAACGATTATACGAAGGACGGCGCGCTGGAGGATCGCGTTGTAGTCCTGGCTCTCTTGAGGGGAGAAAAGAAGATCGCTGTACTTCAAAGGCGGCGCGTTCACGATGCTCGTCATGAGATCCGCGGTCTGCATGGCCTCCTCGCCCGCGCCGTAGAGCTCAAAGGCAGTTGCGCATGTTCCATTCTCCTGTGTGTCCTTACGACCCATTATTTGCTCCGCGATGCGGAACACCATGTTGATATTGTCGTACACAAATGCGAGGAGACGCGTCGACGCGTTCGCACGTGCAGCGCGTCGACACGCATCTGAAAGGCGCTTGAGTATGCCTTCGACCCGCTTCTTCTTGGCTACCTTCGGTGCAGTGTCCCGGCCACTGTCCTCCTGCAGACTCTCGGCTTGACTCTCGGTACGAAGGTCCTCGAGTGCATTCAGGATATCCGCGCTACCAGCCTGACCCTCATCTCCCGTTATCGCAAGCTCTTGCGCTCGGACGTCGTCCAGCTGTGCCCATATCAGATCGTCCGAGTCGACCGGCGACGCGGCTGCCAGTGGTGAACGCGTGTGGGAAGGACCCGCGAGGGCTTCCGGAGCTTGTTGTGAGTGCGATGTGCTGGGTGAATTGGCAAGTGCAGTGGTAGATGGACATGGAGCATGGGGTTGTCTCGGTGAGCGGGAGGGCACAGCTGTTTGTGAGTTAGTAGCCGGACGTGGACGGTGCAGAGTCTCGTCACTATCGCTGTCAGAAACCTCCGAGTCAGAGCTCTCCGAGTCACTGGCAGGTGTGGAATTCAGTGGCGAGGGTGCGTTCGGATCGTCTGGTTCGAGGCTATCATCGCCGAGATTCGCGGTAAGGGAGTTGTAGCTGCAGCACAACCCAATGTGTGACAGGAGCTCAATCATCTGCCGTTTGGCCCCCGAAGTGTACGCGTACAGTGCGAAGATATTGCGTGCATAGTTGTTCTTTTGGCTGCGAGCACTGAGGCATATGAGGGCACTGGTAGCGAGATACTGAATTTGAGGTAAGTACGCATGTCGCTAGCGTGCATCCGAACATCTACTCACGTTCCGGTGACGTTGCATCCAGGTCGCTGTGGCCATGCGCTTTTGTCTTGCGGACGTACTGAATGCTGACAGGAGATCCATCATTGTCGGACAGATGCCACGAAGATCGCTGGCCAGCGCCTCGAGGCTGAAGTCCAGAGCGAAGTGTTCGTCAATCGGTCTCTTCTCCGTGCGCAGAAACCCGTCCTTGCACACTGTATGACCTTCCCGCGCCACCAGCTGCGCAACGTATGTTGTCGCCCACTTGCGCACGGTCTCCCTCCCAGTCATGCTGTTTCCAGAAGAGACCCACATATCTAGGATCTCCGAGACACCGGCTGTGTCTCGAAACAGGCCCCAGTATCGCTCCTTGCCGCGATAAAGGCTGGGATCCGACACATAACGGAGTAGATCAATGAAAGGTGTGTTGGTTTCCTCGAGTATTCCGAGAACCTGCAGGCAGACAGCTTGGCGGCGCGCTGTCCTCTCCTCTTCATCGGCTTCTTCTGCGAGCTGACGAACTTTTTCTCGGTCTGCCTTGTCCTTACGGCGGCGATCAGCAACCGTTCGTGCAGGGGACTCGGGAAGCATGGATGTATCGGACAAGACATGTTCATGTTCACTTGGGCCTGGCGAAATTCGATATAGTCCCGCAAACAACGCAGGGAGAGGGGGCTCGTGGTCATCAATGTAAGCAAGGTCAGATTCTGGCAATTCCGTGAGTGGCGACGAGGCGGGCAATGGGCTATGAATGTCTTGTGCCATGGTGTAGAGAGTTACAGTGAGCGGGCGTCGGGCAGTAAAATACAATGATCGACGTCAAGGTAGTTCGGACGAGCTGACAGGCGCTTCGTTGACAGTGATTTTTTGTCTCGATCACTCCACCGGACTCTTCATTGCACTCAACACTCCATGGCGCGCGGTCCTGCAAAATATGCCTACAAGCTACGCCGTCCTAGTGGCGAACCAACGCAGCAGCACCAACGTCCAAAGTTGACAGCAGAACAGGTCCAGGAGCTTGCGCAGCTCATGCAGTCACGGTTTCGCTGGAGCAGCGAGCCCCGTTTTTTTCAGATTGAGGGTGTAAAGGCGCAAATTGAGGGTGTCGATGCGATAATCCAGGCCCCAACAGGCTCAGGCAAAACAGCTATAGCAGCGGGTCCTCACCTCTGGCCGGGTAATGCTGGGAAGACAACGATAATGGTATGCCCACTTCTCGCATTAGAGGAAGAGATGGTACGTAACCTCATGTCTTGCTGGTAAGTAACTCCTCTCATTTTACTCGCTAGGTGGAGACCTTCAAGACGGAATTTGGCTTGACTGCTGTTGCTGTCAATGGCCAGAATACTCTCTCACAAAATAAGCAGATTATGCAGGTCAGTCAGTTCAAGTTCACAAGCCATAAGAACGGTATTGGCCCGTATAGCCTGCACTGACGATGTGTCACATCTAGGGCATTCTCCGTGGACAGTACCGTATCATCCTCATATCCCCCGAAATGCTACAGTCACGGTCATTCAAGGATCGAGTGCTGCGCAACACCCAATTCATGCGACGTGTACTCAGTGTAGTCGTGGACGAAGCACACTGTCTCTCTCACTGGGGCGCCGACTTTCGCAAAATGTATGCGAGCCTTGGATCTATACGTGCGTTCCTTGCACCAGGTACTCCTATCATTGCTGTCACAGCCACTCTCACCGCTCGCGTGCGCCGCGATCTCCATACCAAACTTCACTTCCCAAAAACCGGCAGCCGTTTCGTCAATGTGGGAAATGACCGCCCGAATGTCTCGATCATCGTTCGTGCATGCGAGCACCCTCAGAATACACTCGCCGATCTCGATTTTATTCTGCCAGACACCATCGCAACCCCGCATGACATCCCGAAAACGTACCTCTATGTCGACAAGATCGACACCGGCAATGCCATCATAGATCACCTTGGAAAACTCCTTCGACAGCGCAATCCCACACTCTACGAATTGGGAGTTATACGCCCGTTCAATGCGACCATGTCTCCCGAGTACCGCTCTCACGCCATGGCAGCTTTCCGCAACAACCCTAACTACGCCAGTGGAGATGTGACAGCAGACAACATAAAGATAGGGCCCATACGTATTTTGGTGTGCACGGATGCTGCTGGCATGGTATGTAATGTGCTTCTACCCTTCATCTGCTCGTATTCTAACATATCTGGCCGCCACGAGGGATGTAACGTGCCCGATGTAGATGTCGTCATCCAATGGAAGTTGCCTGCGACACTGTCCAATTTCATACAGCGAGCGGGGCGTGCCGCACGCGCACGGAATAGGACCGGGATTGCAATCCTCCTGGTCGAGCGTTCCGCGTACTCCATCAACCTGCAGGTGACGCCTCAGGAAGACGAGTCGAGCTCAGCCCCAAGGTCGAACAAAAGGCGACGTGGGCGTAAAGCACCCGGGCCGCCAAAGGATGGTCGCAAGAAAGTGCCGAAAGACTATGCCAAGCGACACGGCGTCAACCGCGGCAGTAGTGCAGGCTCAAACAGCGACGGGATTCTCAACCCCGCTGACCAGCCAAAGATCAACCATGACGCAGAAGACGAGGGTCTTCTAGCTTTCGTACAGAGCACCCAATGCCGCCGGAAAATTTGGAGGGAGATCTACGAGTGCCCTGCATCAGGTATGTACCTGTAGTACTTTCGACAGCTCCTAACAGAGGCAGCTGAACTCCGTATGCCATTCAGGACACGACACAACCCTTCCCGTACCATGTTGTGACGTATGTGATGCGTCACTGTTGGATCGCGCACGACCGCCTGTGGTCCAAAGCACGCGCAGAAATGCCAAACAGAAGGTGGGCCTCCCTGATCCTGCAGCACAGACGGTGTTGGAAGAGTGGCGCGAGACCAAGCTCGACGAAGACCATCCACATGCACTGTTTGGCACCACGGCCATTCTTAGTGACGCGCTCATTGAACGGCTAACCTCTGTGGGACCGTTCACGCGTACCAAGGCCACAACAATGCTCAAGACGTGGCTATGGCGCGACCGATATGAAGATGAGTTGACTGCCCTCCTGCTATCCCTACCCATCCATTCTATTCCAAAGCCCACGAAGACATCTTCGAGCGGGAGCAATACCACCAAAGCCTCGTCAGTCGACAAGAACGTACAGGCCAGCAAACGTACTGTCACTGCTGACGGAGATACTGCATTGGCACCTGGCGGCCACGAGCGTTCATCAAAACGCGCACGTCGTACTCACGACGCAGAGCAGGTATGTTGAGGGCATTCCTCTCACTCATTGGCATCCTGACTCGGACAATGCATAGATTCAATCTACTAGTACATTGACGCCTCCGAGGTCGGGGACTGTACACCCCATCCCAAGTCCCAGTCCCTTCACACATCATCCAGGCCGACCTTCTATGCCGTCTGTGGCGACCCACACACTTCCCTCAACATCCTCGCATTCATCGCATCCTGCCGCTGCACCACCCTTCTCATCTCTGCCGTCTTTACATTTCCCATCTCATCCTCCGGCGACCCTCTTCCAACCCAGTACACCGCGCCAAATGTTTGCAAGCGATGTTCCACAAGGGGCTGGTCCATCTCGGCACGTACAGGCATCCTATGGAAGCCATCAGTTGCCCATTCACCCGGTCCCGTACCACGGATACACGGCTCCCGCGACGCCGGACCCTCAATGGTCGCACTCGTGGCACTCAGCAGCATGGCAGCCATCACCACATCCTATCCCCTACTCACCAGGTGCTCCGCAGCGCGACTCCATGGACGAAGGGGCTAGCGCAGCCATCTTCAGCACACAACTCACCTCCGAGAACTACCTCGCTTTCCAGACGAGCAGGGGACGAGGCCGAGGGCGCGGGCGCGGGCGAGCGCGGGGCATGAGCGCAGCCGCAGAGCGAGGCGGGGGCAGCACTGCCGGCGAATGACGATGTGTATAGGTTCTCTGTACCGGATTACATACACTCAGTACCATCTGACGTGACTAAAAACATACCGTGCGCAACACATGGTTAAAGGCGTACAGGATGCTCAGGTCTGCTTGCGACCGCAAAGCGCGATGCGTGAAATCTCTAAGTCTCGCTTCCCACGGGGGTACTGGGGTAAATGGAGGCCAATCTCGCCAGTCGTTAGAGGCCCCCACCTCCTTTTCGCACTCCGATTCCTTTCCTGGCTTTTACCGTTTCCAAAAGGAGGAGTGCCGGAAAAGGTGGTGGCGGGACTCAACGACTGGCTTGCGAGTCTAGAGTTGACGCGAAGACTCGCGAAGACGTCGATTTCCGACTACGTTCAGCGCGCTGCACAGGACACACTCGCTCGTTTCTACGTACTTACGCCGATCGTCGCGACGTACTGTGATAACATTCGGCGCCGGGCCGTTGCAGTCTCCACAACCGCCGGGATACTGCTACTTACACGAACGAATTTCATCAGATCGTGAGTGCCCGTTTCCAATGGTGAGTGTAGGCTGCACTGCTATCCCCTTCTGTACTCTCAGGCCTCCTTCTTTCATTACGGGATTGTGTTTGATCGAGGTGATAGGCTTGAACGTTCGAACCATACCCTAATAGGCTAGTAACGAGGCCGCCGTCGTCGTTCCCGACGTTCACCGGAACAGTTGCACATCGCGATTGCATTGTGATGTAGGTGTCAGTCATGATGCAGCCAAAGTTGTAGATTGTTCATTTTTCATATGCATACAGGCGCCACTTGGCGTTCACCACATACGACTTCGAGATCGGTACCCCAATTATGGTACGTCGCAGTCGATTGGATGATCCTCAGGGTGCTAACCTTCTATTGGACGCTTTCTGGCTCGCATCGCACTGGGAATACTCGGGCTGTTTGATCTTGGAACTGACTGCCAGTGATGCAGACTTCCTCGATGTAGTAGGTTGACAGCTTGCCACGCAGGCGCACGTACCTGTCTCGACGGTCTCCATGTCGGGGTTTCCTCGCACAAAATCCGCTTCTCTGATGTTTGTCTATCCGTCATGTTCCTCCAACGGTTCGTCGTCTAGTGAAGGGCCGCTGGTGTATTGCAACGGAAAGATGTGGTTGCGGACCTCCGCCTTTGGCCAGCGCGTCTTGACCAAATTTCACACATCCACACCATCGGGTATCAGTGACGGCTTTTCAGGCAGGAACGTCGCTGTCCAGATGTCAATACGAGGACCGCGAGATGATGGCCTAAGATGGCAACTGCTCCGAGTGTGTCAAGGGTGGGTGGATGATTATGTCAAGAATTCCGACAGTCGACGGCTGACGGCGCTTTGGGTTCTGCGGACCATCGCCGATCATAGCGAGCGGACGTGCTCGGCGGAGACACTTCGATTCCGCCTGCTCATTCTTCTGTTAATTCTGTATATAGGAACTGGACACTGCATCGCAATGGTAAGGGTACGACCTGTCACGGCACGATATGACAGGCTGCGATCACTGTATGCGCTAGCCTGTGTCCGGCGGTAGCAGGGTCCCGCCGGCAAGAGCTAGAACACAAGACAATCCAATACAGATCGTGGACGCGGTACGCAATAGATGGCACCCACCCAATACTAGGACTGGTGTATTTCACATCCAGCCTTCCGATTTGCTTCCAACAAACGGGCGTCGAACACCACTTTCCTCTACCGGAAGTTGGCCCTGGGGACCTGCATGACGCTCATTGATGCAAGAGTGAGTCAAGATACGCGACTCGGAGACGCATTGACAGCGGGTACAGCCCGCTGTGAACGGGGTGACACGGGCACGAATATGGGCGGGACTGGGTCTCCGAGTCCGTGGACATGTTCGCCTCTATTGTGCCAGCGCTTTGAATGATATTTCCACTGTGACTGTTGTGCCGTCTGAGGCTGTCTGATCGTCCTATATAAGATAGACGTAACCGGACACACGACAACAAGACTTCTCGCGACAAGATGTGGCCTACCGAATCGCTGTTGAATACCGAGTTGTGGCAGCCTGAGGCTTCGCAGGCATCGGCCTCGCAGCTGGGCGAGGTTTCATACCTCCGTGCTGAATCCATCTCCAAGGCTTATGGTAAAGTCTCCGTCCATCATGGTCGTACCACGTATCTGACAGACATGTAGGACTGACATTGAAGGATGTCGCGACGCTGACACCGAAATTCTGGAAGTTGCACCAAGATCCGATTCTGTGCATCGACGGCGCTGCGACCACCTTGCTGACTATCCACTACAACCTGTGTCTCGGGACGATCAGTACCTACCTGCCTCACAGGAAGGATCTGTTCCCGCTTTCGCAGAGCCTCGCCGAGTACCAAACCATGTGGGTGATTCGTCTGCCTTCCTCGTATTGCGTGCTCACAACCCGTGTAGTGGTCAATTTTGTCTTACCGAAGGTTGGAAGATGTTGATTCTAACAAATGAATGCACGCTGACGCGCGGATAGTTGGCCATGGTCTCGACGCCTTCAACTTGGGGACCACGGCGACCGTTCAGCCAGATGGCAGTTTCGACCTGCACTGTCCCACGGCAGCGAATGCCAAGTGAGCGCATCCGACTCGTAGCACAGTGTGGAAACTGATCCGCCTACGTCAGATACATGCCGCCCACCATTCCTGTGCTCGGCCGCCCGTGTGTTGCGGTCGTCTTCGCGCAGCTTGTTGTCGAAGGCGAGAAAAGGGGTATACGCCCTTTTCTCGTTACGCTGAACGACGGCAAGACCATGTCCAAGGGGATCACCGCTCAGTGAGTATTCTCACAAGTTGGTCCCATTCAAACACCGTGTCTGATGACGACAACAGGCTTGTCCCTACTCGCCACGGCGCCACGCCCGTCAACCACGCCATAACCCGATTCGAGCATGTCGCCCTGCCCTCCTCCGCCCTGCTCGGCCGCCTCGAGAAGTCAGACTCGCCGCACCAGGACTTCCTCGGCGCGATCTGGCGCGTCGGCGTCGGCACACTCTCCCTGAGCGCGATCTCCATCCCCGCGCTGCAGGTCGCCACGCACATCGCGTTCAAGTACTCCGTCCGCCGCAAGATCGGCGGCCCCGACGGCGCGCCGCTGCCCATCATCTCGTTCCGCACGCAGCAGATGCCTATCTTCTACGCGGCCGCGCAGGTGTACGTCCTGAAGGCACTCAGCAAGCATATCGTTATGCGCTTCGCGGACACGACGGGCGATCCCCGCGTGAGGCACGCGGCCGCGACGATCTTCAAGGCGGTCACGATGCGCCAGTGCCAGAATCTGCATCTCGCGCTCTCCGAGCGCTGTGGCGCTCAGGGTCTTTTTGCGTACAATCAGATCGTGTCGCAGCTGGTCTGTACTTCTGTTACTACTCCTTATGGGGCTTCACTTACGACAGCTCTGCAGAGCGACTTCCGGGGCATCGTTATTGCTGAAGGTGACATCCTAGTGCTTTCCATCCGTGAGTTGATAGTGCATCGCGTTTCACACACGAGTGAGGGTTGACGTCCGCGGTTGCTTCTAGGACTGGCCAGCGAGCTGCTCCTCGGGCGGTACACCCTTCCGCCCGCCGCGGACACAGAGAGTATCCTCGCGAAGCACGAACGCGCGCTCTTCGACGAATGCCGCGACATCGCGAAGACGCACGGCCACCGTAGCAAGACCTTCGCGTCCCTCGTTCTTCCCCGCTGCCTGTCCCTGGTGGAAGCCATCGGAGCGCGCATGGCGTACGAGGCGGCGCTCGCCGAGGGCGTTCCGAAGCCGCTCGTCGATCTCTTCATTTCCCATACAGTCAAGGAAGATCTCCCTTGGTACGTCGAAGCAGGGCTTCTGACTCGCGCCGGCCATATGGAGAAGGAGAACGACGCCTTCGAGGCAGCGGTTCCTGTGATGCCGGGGTTCATTGACGGTATGGGCGCAGCGCCCTTCGTGCGCGCCCCCATCGTCAGTGATGCCAAGTGGGACCAGTTCTTGCAGACTCTCAGGGTGTTCAAGCCGTTCGAGGATGGTACTGCTACCGTGGAAAGCGCGCTCGATAAGGCTTTGGAAGAGCTGGTGATATCTTCGGAGCCCAAGCATGAGATAGATATCGCTGTCAAGGAAGTTTCTGTTGCAGTCTAGACTGGGCTCTCGTCGAGTATATTGTTCCTTGTGGAGGCGTGTTGTACTACTATTACTACTATGTATGACAGATGTGATGTACCGACAAATATTTATCATTGCAGTGCATAGGCCAATGATTAGTCTTAATTCTGGGTTGTTTTGGAGCGGGAGTGGAAACCATCAATGAGGGTTGCGATGCCGCGTGCCCGAAGCCTATGTCACTTGCGTCCTTAACTTCGGCTGGAACTTCCCTCGGGCGATGCTATCCATGATGCTGCAGGTCTCGCAAGGAACATTTGGCCAGTGAAACCCTCAACGCCCGCACCAGCCAGGCACGGAGACTACAGTTCGAGCGGTTACGAGAGTCCGGGAAGAAGGATCGACTAGGCTAGGGTCCTACGTCCAATTTGCATCCGGCAGGAACGGTAAATCGTTGATCTTATCTCAGATGCGGCCTCCGGCCTCTTCGGAGATCGGGATCATGATCGGGAAGCCGCACTTGCTCCCTGCCAATTGACGTGCACGTGGCATCCTTTGCCGCCGGGACGCTTCGAAATGACTTGGACTCGGAGTGAGCGCTGAGAGCTTCCGGTTGGCCTCGGATCCCATTGCAATAGTGTTGATTGTACTAGGTAGATATTACTTCGCCTAGGCCAAACCCTGGCGGTCAAATGGAGTTCCTGTAGCTGATGGGTTGCGGCAGCTACTTGATGGGGCGCTCTCCTCATGAGACCTTACTGGAAGGTCTATTCCCGAATATCGGTCATTTTCTCACCCGACGCGGTGTTTTCAACTACCTACTTACCCACAGGGCTGCAGCTTTAGGTAACTCGGAGTGGTCGCCGCGCTCTCATGAAGGTAGTCCGCTGCCTTCAAGATTCCGAAGGAGAGCGCCATGACTAGTCGGCGGTGATGTCCTGTCACACGGCGATGTCCAGGTCGCGGCGCCTCGCCAGAACGAGATACTGGATTGCGGGATGCAGTAGTATCAATGGTCCCCGGATTGGCAGAGGTGTGTATTTCACACTGCAACGAGTTGAAGATAGCGACTCAATGGCAATATGCTCGATTGATAGGCCGTGTTCCAAATTACAGGGCATCAAACACGCAACAGTCCTTCCGGGGTCCTGGGGCAGCAGTGGCCAGGTCTGCGAAGCTCCATCCAGAGGAAGGCGTCTCCTGGTCGTGATCCAAGGTGTGTATTCCTCAGAGGAAAGCTAAGTCTCGTTGAGCACATTAACCTTCTCCCCAGGACGCATCGCTATCCCACCTGCCATCCTCGATGAAGCCTCCCGTCTTCTATCTAATCAGCGGCCTCTGGCCTCTCTTGCTACCTCCGGTGGTGCTCTCAGTACTTGCTCATGTCGCGAAGGACCAGACGGGTTTTGCTTTGCCCACACCCGTCGTCGTTGTCCTCTGCATCCTGAGTATCCCGGCAACTTTCGTCACGGTGAACTTCATCGTTATGCGCGCTCAGATGCAGAGGGCAGCGAAGTTTGGTTCAGCCCTTCCGCCTCAATGGGAAGGAAAGTGGATCGGAAACCTCGACGTGCTCATTCGCTTCCTGAAAGCGTGGAAGGAGGGCTACATAGGTAGTGTACCGTGCACGCCTTGCTGCTCGTCTGCCACTCAGCCAACATACAGGCGATCGCCACCTCGATGGTGTCACGAAATTGGGTTCTGTACTAGGACATCGTTTCATGGGCGATTACGCGACGTTCACGACGGAACCCGAACACATCAAGGTAGGACTCAGCCAACTGTAACGATAGGGCGACGTGACTTATCCGGGTCGTCTCGTAGATCATCCTTGCGACGGACTTCAATAATTACATCAAGGGCAAACGATTCCGAGTCGCTATGGAGTCTGTCTTAGGTTCCGGCGTCTTCAATTCCGACGGAGACATGTGGAAGTCAGTGGGACTTGCTCCATATACGCACATAACACTGATTTAGCGACAGGTTCCACCGCGGAATGACTCGACCTTTCTTTGCGCGCGACCGCATCAGTCACTTCGCGATATTTGACAGGCACGCAGTACGTGTCTCCAGACAACCTCGAAGTGGCCAGCAACCGCTGACACCTCCATCAATCACAGGAGGACCTCGTCGCTAAGCTGAAGGAACGCCTGCGCGGCGGGTACCCTGTGGACTTCCAGGACGCCATCTCGCGCTTCACCCTGGACTCCGCCACGGAGTTCCTCTTTGGCGCCTGCGTGAACTCGCTCTCCGCCGGCCTGCCGTACCCGGGCGACGCGTATGCCGGGCACGCAAAGGCGTCCGACGACCCCGCGGAGAAGTTCGCGCGGGCGTTCGCGGAGGCGCAGTACGTCGTCGCGGGGCGCAGCAACACCGGCGATGCCTGGCCGATGTTCGAGCTCGCGGGCGACAGGTCGAAGAGGCCGATGGCGGTCGTGAATGCGTTCATCGAGCCTGTGGTGAACAGGGTGCTTGCAAAACATCAGCAGATGAAGGCGGAGCGTGAGGCGGCCAGTCATAGCAGCAAGGAGGAGATCGAAGACCACGATACTCTCCTGGACTACTTGGTCCGGCAGACATCCGGTACGTTGACACTCCTGCATGAGAATTTCGCTCACAGTATCGCAGACGTCTCTGTCTTGAAGGATGAGACTCTGAACATGTTGGTAGCTGGACGTGACACGGCAAGCTTGATTTCACAGCTCGTCTCGTAAGTCTTCTGACTAGGGAATCTGGCAGACTGCTGGTCTCTTGACCTTCACCGCGTATTTCCTCGCGATGTATCCGAACGTCATGGCTCGTCTGCGTGAAGAGGTGCTTTTGACGGTAGGTGCCTCCGCACAGCCGACATTCGACAACATCAAGAATATGAAGTACTTGCGTGCTGTGTTGAACGGTGAGTAACATGTCTTATTGCATTACATTTACCGCTTAAACTGGTCCCCAGAGACTCTCAGGTTGTATCCGTTGGTGTAAGCATCTCATACCCTTGGGATGGTCTTGAAACTGACCACTCGATCGCGCTCTGACAGACCTTGGAACGTCCGGTCAGTGGACGCCTATACTGTGCGCGTTCACCCACGTTACTGACCCATGTGAACTGTAGGGAATCGGTGCACGACACGACCTGGCCCTCTCCGCATCCCGACGGTAAACCGATATTCATCCCCGGTGGTACGAGGTGAGTTTGCGATGTCGTTGTCGTATATATAAACCTCACATGAATCTGTCAGTGTAATCTACTCTGTGTTCATGATGCAGCGACGCAAGGATCTGTGGGGGCCTGATGGTACGCTAAGGAACATTCGCCTGGCTGGCATGTGCTCATGCCCGCGACGATGCAGCCGAGGAGTTCGATCCGGAGCGATTCCTCGACGAGCGTGTCAAGAAGTACTTGATACCTAACCCGATGATCTTTGCTCCCTTCAATGCCGGTGAGATCTTTCCTACTTGAAATGATGCGCATTCCTCAAGGCAAACATCTTAGGTCCCCGTATCTGCCTTGGTCAACAGGTTCGCACCGTGTTATACTCCTCGTCGCAGGACTGACCCTACTGTTTTTCAGTTCGCGTACAACGAAGCGAGCTTCGTCTTGATACGACTTCTCCAACAGTTCTCCGCGTTCCACCTCGCAACCGAGTACCAGCCGCGCGAGACCCATCCGCCGGCTGACTGGGCCTCCTGTGAAGGTCGGAAGGGGATTGAACAAATCTTCCCTCGTAGCCACCTTACTGCATACTCCTATGGCGGTTTGTGGCTTACGATGACTGAAGCAGACGATTAGACTGCGGCGGGCGAAGGGCGGTGATCGGCTCCTCTTTCTGGATCGACTAGAATCCAGTTGTTTTGCAGAGGAGATGCGTCGTTGACAGATGTAACAATCATATGGTACTCAGGCAATGTCACCCTCTCGAGCTAGTGTGATTCCGGTGTGCGCACTCAGTATGGTTAACACGGGCGATCGGATATGCACACCAAACCTGGCGGAACGGTCGCTGTTTACGCGTTCAGGCGGTGCTCCGGGACAGATTGGGGTACAATGGCAAGTCGTCGCCAATGAAGTGATCCGACGCGTAGTCCATGAGAAGTTGTAAGTCACTTACATACAACCGCCCGATGCCTGGATACAGATACCTTGGCGAGGTCTCGATCTCCCGGAATTCGATACACAGCGCTCCGTGCACCGCGGCGGATCATCGAAATGCGTGAGAGAGAGCCAGGGGAATGGAGGACTACGGACAAGATTCTTCTTCGGCGCCGCCATCTAGGTACGCATCTCCCGGTGCGTAGAACTGTCCAAAACGCTCATCCAGGAGATTCATGAGGCACTCCTGATGCCGACGCCCTGATATGCAGTAAGATATGAAATGCAAACGCCGCCATCATCCGCTTGACGGCTGCAACAAGTGGACAAAGGGCTTTCCTGGGGTCCTGGTGCTCAGCGCAGCTCTTTGGACGTGTCACGAAGTAACGACTAACCTCAACATAAAACTGCGTTATGGTATATGAATACGCAGACATTCGTAAGGGTAGCGCAGCTTTCAGCTTTCAGTTCCTCTTGCAATGGCTACCTTGAGGGTCGCCGCAGACGCGACGTCCGCCAACCTTTTCACTTTCAGTGCGGTAGCAAGCCTGGTATGTCCTTAGCACTAGTCTCAAGGGACGACATACTGATATCCACCGTTAAGACAACTTGTCTGTACTTGCACCGTTTCGATGTACGGGGAGACGTCTTCCTGGCGTATCTCTTGATTGTGTTTGCGTCGACCGCATCGCTGCTCTCCCATGCGGGCTTGGGCACTTTTGAAACGTTGATCCAAACGGCTCAGGCGATGGGTCTGTACATTGGATGCATGACCGCCATCACAGTCTTGTATCGCATCTCGCCCTTCCACCCGCTCGCCGCCTTCCCTGGACCACTTATCAACAAAGTGACGGCCCTCAAACTTGCCCACATTGTCTGGTCCGGGAAACGATACTTGATCATCAAGGACCTACATGAGCGGTACGGCTCCTTCGTGCGCACAGGTGAGTACTCGTATCACGCCGTTACTAGGGAGAAAATCGCTGACTGACCTTTACCGCAGGTCCCACTACGTTGTCGATCAGCAGTCCCAACGCAATTATGCCGGTATATGCTTCGCCCCATAGCATGGACAAGAGCGAGGCATACCGACCTGGAAGATTTCACCCCGGAGGTCTCTTCTTCATACGCGAGCGCGACGACCACAATAAACGGCGCAGGATCTGGGCTCCCGCATTCTCCGCCCCCGCGTAAGCGTGTGTTATTCTACCAACGCTGTAGCGATTGACAACCGCGTGTACAGTGTGGAGCACATGTTGAGCGTTGTAAACAAGCGGACGCTACAGATGCTGCAGTGCATAGAGCGACGGCGTACCAAGGAAGGTTTGCTCGATATGACAGAAGTCATACGGCATTGGGCCTATGATTTGATGGTCAGTTATTTTCCATACTATACTACCTACGGGCTCACCTTCGCCAACGCTGTCTTGTAGGCGGACATTACATTCGGCAAGGCATCTAGGATCGTAAGCTCAACTGCCATATAATCAACAAATGATGTGACTGACGATGTCGCGTAGGAACTCATGGAAGATGGGGATCCGCATGGTGTCGTAGCAAGCGTGCAGAACGCCACGGTCCTATTCGAGACGTGAGTGTCCTGCAACTTCTCTTCAATCTTGCTCTGACACAAACTAGACTCGGAGAGATACCACCCCTCTTCGACGTTATGTGGTACCTGCCCGTCACGAAGGATGTGCATGTCCTTGACAGAATCTCTAAGAATATCATGGCTGAACGTAAGAATGCGCCTGGGCAAGAAGATATCTCGGCTCACTTGGTAAGCCTTTCCTCGGTATGTCTCGGGAGCCGTCCTTTGCTGACTGTACCGCAGCTCGGTGAACTCGGCGGCGAGCGTCTCAGTGACGAGGAACTTGACCTTGATGCTACATTCTCCATCGTCGCCGGTATGCAGAAATATTGTTGTTGAGTCGGCGTCGCTCATTGATTCATAGGATCGGACACCACTGCGGGTAGTCTCACCCTGCTGATGTTTTATTTGCTCAGAGACCAGGAGACATATGCCAGGTTGCGCGCGGAGCTCGACCAGCATTTCTCTTCTCCCGAAGAAGCGAATGACTGGAAGAAACTCGTAGAGCTTCCGTACCTGTTCGGCGTCGTGCACGAAGGGTTGCGTTTGGGAACGCCGTTCCCGGGCCTGCCGCGTGTAGTGGCCAAAGGCGGGGTGGTGATCGACGGCAAATACGTCCCCGAGAAAACGATCGTTGGAGTACCGCCGTACGTTCAGCAAACTAGTCCCGGTGAGTAAATTTGGCACGCAAGTGAAACGCATGGTAAACGGTTGAATTCCTGAACAGAGAATTTCTATCCGAACCCTATGGAGTTCCGCCCTGAGAGATGGTCTCCAGATGGTCTGGGGCCGTCGACAGTGACCAAGAAGAATGCAATCATGTGCTTCTCGTCTGGTCAGTACATGTACAATCTATAACGGATCTGCGCACTTACTCTCTCGAGCAGGCCCGTTCAGCTGCCTAGGCAAGACCTTCGCTATTCGTGAGATCCATCTAGTCGTCGCGAAACTCGTACTTGCTTTCGACATGCGTCTGGCACCCGGCTTCGACGAGCAAGCATGGATGGACGGATGCCTCAATATGCGGACGACTCTGTTCAAGCATCCGCTCATGATCACAGCGACTCCCAGGCACTAATGGGAGCACACCTGTGAGGACTGAGAGTGGGCAGCTTGTAGAGGACCAGATGTGTCATAAAAGCGCTTGTCGTTCTTTTATGGTCGGCAACGGAGACTACAAATGTCACGTGGTGGAACTTGTAACTGCATCTTGGTCGAGTAGCGGCGTTACAGTGAATGCCTTTCGTGAATGTAACATCAGTACTGCAACTTCTCCGTCTACATCGAAAAACGCTGGCTCACACTGACCCATGAATATCATTGTTATCGACTGACTGTACGCCTAACGAGACGCTGCTAGTCCCATCTTCGGTGGCGCCTCCGAACACCGTTTTGCGCTGTCAGCCTGAGCCGGCATGACCGCGCGTATGTATGCCTCAGGATCACCAGGGCGAAGTCTAGCTGTCTGCGGAGGAGACGAGTTTGAGAAAAATGTGAACACATTGTCGCAGTGGACAATTCCAGAGGTCGCCCGTGTCGTCGAGCGGTCAGTAGCGACGGTTAGCGCCGAAGTTGAGATCGCGTCGCTACCAAACTGCGCGCCAATTGAGGAGGACCGAGGTCATTCTACTTCCATCGAGTCTGTCCGCCTTTCATCGCCACCCTTCATGCTCCAATTTTTGGCGCAGAGCTAGATGCAATTGAACGCACGTGAATATGCTCGGAAAGTGCCCGAGATCAATCTGACAGAGGCAGTGATAGCATTGACGAGTGTAAGCGAGAGGTATGTCACTAATAACTTACTACTACGGGGGCCAGCCAACAGACTTACGGAGCGATACAGTACACCGTTCAATAGTAATATATCTACACCCCATCCTTACACCCTCCACCTTCCTATGCTGGTCGCAAAGACGTCGCACTAGGCATACGAGTCGACGTGCTTTAACTCTGTCCCTTTGTACACAGATGGCCCAGTATCGGTGGTGCCTTCCGTTCGCGAACCAGATCTGGAGTCATGGTTGCTGTTGTTGTACATAACCGCGCCGAGAGGCACCGGCGTACGAATCGAGCTCCGCACGGCCGTAGAGCCCTGGAGGTTCTTGGTCATGCCGATGCTGACGAAGACCATGTTGAAGATGAGCGAGATCAGGGAGGTCATCTAAGGAAGGATGGGGGATCGTGTCGGGATGCAGCTCTCAGTAGATGCTCAGGACGTACCAAGCCGTTCACGACCCACTCCACGCTCGGCGCGTGGATAATGGTGATGAGCGCTAGCATGAGCATAACAGAGTAAATCATCCCAGACTCGATGATCACGAATAGGATCGGGCGAAGTGGGTTCCGCCTGTAGGTCGAGTCGAAGTTCCGGTATGTCTGCGAGCCGACGGCCCAGATGCGATAGGCGAGGAGCACTGTTCGTTGGCTCCGAGTGAGAACTACAAGTGATGCGTCGAATCACAGAAAATACGCACCAGTCGCAATGAGGTTCGTCGCCAGCGTGAAGGCGAACGCCATGAGGATCCAGTTGAGGTACGGGATGCCCTTCGCGAAGCACCACTCTACCCACGCGAAGCTACCTGGTCATACGCGGGACATCAGCGATCCGAGGTTAGGTCATGCGAACAGATACAGCACGCACATATAGCCCCAACGCAGGTCAGACACGGGAAAGCGATGATGTACCACTTCTTCCAAACGGCATAACATCTGAAGATCTGGCGTGGCGCGTCAGTCTTGCGCACCGGTTCTGAAGACTGCCAACATACCACAACGGCATCTCCGATAATGGTGGAGATGTAATAAAGACATTGGTCGAACACAAACAGGCCATGGCTGAAGTCCAAGAGATAGTCGAAGGGGCCGGTGGGTGTCCGGAGGTTATCGTTGTCGAACGCGGTTTCTAGCTGCACGATGTCCGTGCAGGTACGCTGGACACAGTCCGATCAGCGAAACGAGCCTCGCGTCGAGGAAGTTTGGGATACGCACTACCGTAGACATGAGCCAAAGCACCGCTGCTATGATGAGCATCGTCGTGTTCACCGGGAGCTTCCTCCGGTCTTTCAGAACCCACACCGTCATCGCAAACGTACATGTCGCAAACCCTGCAAGCGATCCAAAGCCACTCGTTAGGCCCGCCACCTCCTACACGACCCCAGAGAAACACCACTCACCATAAATAATACATTCCAGCGTGACAGCAGCGATCGGAGCCTTCGCACTGGTCATCCAGCCCGGCATGGTGGGCAGAAGGATGTGCAGAGCGTCCCAGATGGTTGATCACATTATAGCGGCAGGTCGTCCCGTCGCTGCACAGCCATTGCGGTCCCGCGATTGATGTGATACGCTCGGGGCGGCGCCACCAACAGCGGCAGCACGTCCTATGAATCCGCGCTCATTGATCGCGGGTTTCACTTCCGTCATCCTGTCAACGATTGCGGTCTCCGCAGGAGTGAAGCGAGGTGCTGTGAGTGTTTGTGCCTGAGCGGGGGATCATCCTGGAGGGGCATCAATTAATCGCATGTCATGCTAAGCTTTTAGTGTGAGCGCTCGACGCCTCATTGTACTGGCCTCCAAGGTTGCGCCTTGTCCGTGCGGTTTTGGAATCGCGATGCACGAGACAGTATTGGCCTAGATGGCATTACAGGTACTGTCAATCGATTACGGCTATGATACCTGTCGTCTGGTGCGCTGCGTCTCGAGTTCCGTACTCTCCAGGGGGTAGACGCTGATCAGTAGCGAATGACAGCGCCAGTAAGTAGTGCGTATCCTGACATGACCTGACAGACCACCGGCCGATCACGATCACACTCCATTTTGCATCCGTCGGTCGATGGTGGGTGGATGGCATTCTTGACTTGATAGGCTTCAAGTTGAGGAGTATAGTGGCTGTTCACTACGACGACAGGCATTAGATGATGCACGGTGAAGAGGATACAGGACACACAAACCTTTGAGCATTCCCGCCAGCCATGTCGAACATCTAGGCCGGCCCTGGCCGGGCGATGGCCGCATCATTTCCTCCTCTCCTCCACGGCGCTTGTGTCCGCAAGTCCTCGCCGCCACCGGCCCATGATCAGCTGGGCGCATCAATGTGGTTGCACACGTTCCCTCCTCAGTTATGTCTGGCCCAAGTCTGGCCGATCCTCAGTAGGGTGTGATAGACTGCGGATCCAGGCCAGTGCGGAGCCCTCTGACATGACAGGGTCCTCAAGACGTGATGTGCCACCGACATATTCAAAAGGCACTGCAAGAGTGGACGTAACCTGACACTGTCGCGTTCGGTTTCGGAACATACTATTGTCAGCTTTGAGTTAGTAACTCGTAGCAGATTAGCACACACCTTCGGACCGCAACAGGCTGCTGGTCACGGCTGGCGGATACTAGACTGAATCAACGGTGCAGCGGGCTCGCAACAAACTTATGGAACGTCACAGTATTGGTTCCGTATCTATACACTCTCATTCGGCCAACAGGGAGGTCCGCAGTCGACCCAAGGAATGCGTTGGTCTGAATGAGTGGTGATACAGCGGGCACACGAAGGTTGCTCGCGAGCGCCGGTCAGTCCGTCAGTACTGCCACGTGGGACGCGATCGGGCACTGATCGGGCACCTGAACTTGCGGATATGATGCCAGTGCGGATGCGCTCAATGTTCGAGTGTTCAACTCAAATTCAATTCCAAGTCACTACTCTCCTCCTCATGTGCGGTTGTGTTGGAAATCTCAGCTGTTGTCCCGGCTTTCTCAATCGAACACGCTTCCGTGAATTCGAGTTTCTAGGCTGGAAGTAACCCTGCAGGCAAAAACCGCGGCAGTCTTGTCCCAGGGGCCGACGTTCAACACCGGAGTACGCGTGTATAGATGGAGGGATTCGACTAAGGGGCTTTGTTCCGGTGAGACCAATGTTCCTTCTTCATCTGAGACTGCATTATGACTCCGAATGCTTTCCCCATGGCAAAAGGCCGATCGTACGAATCGCTGGCACGTTAACGCACAAAAGCCCCCACTGCATAAGATAAGTATTGGACGGCGCAGTGTTTCGAACCCATGACATCCGCCTGTCAAAGCTTACTATAATACGACTCGACAAGTTACCCATTCCCTTCACCACCATAGCGCCTTGTGAAAATGGGATATGCGTATGCTGCCAGGACGGGATTTGTCCTACCATGGACGCCCTGAGAGTGGCCGGACACCTCAGTGCGACTCCCCGAAATGCAAGTAGCATGCTGGTCCGCCTGCTGGGCACCGGTACTCCAGCCACGGTGTCTCCGAACGATGTCCTCAAGGGCGCGAAAGCAGTGTGTGCAGTGCGTTCCGAGCAGCTCCTGTGCTGTCATATGCTGATTGTCGCTGCGTTAGCCCCCGAAGAAAGGGAAGACAGCTTCCCTGCCGGCCTTCAGTAGGTCACGGTCGTGAGAGTCGTTCTTTGACTACCGCCCTAGGAAGGCTTGCCGCCGGTTCCATCATTCAACCGGCTTCAAACCTTGCTCTGGCGACGGGCTTTGGTTTCTTCAAATGGGATGCACACTGAAGCAATTCTTCATCTCGCTAGACAGAATGGGACTCCATGTACGCCAATGTCCATAGAGAGACTCAATGTGTGTCGAGCATCTGTTAACCGGGCATCTTCTCCACCGTTCCAGGTATCGATTACTGCTTGCGCGCGTTCGCGAAGGAAACATCGGGTACCCATGCAGTATTTGTAGCCAGGGGATGACATGACACCTGTCTGCTCATGTGAGTGAGCTAAACAACCCGAACTCAATCTGTAGGCTAGAACGCCGCTCACGCTGAATGATATAAGAAATGCCGGCGCTGTTGTGACTATGCTCAGAGCTGGAAGTCGTGACAGAAAACAATGAGCGCAGAACTTTCGCAGCTGTGGCGCTTGCGCCATATTCACAAACACTATCCAAGTGTTCGCACCATGTAGCTTTTGCCTACATAACCTCGAGGTCAACGATGGAAATGAAGGTATCCCCGCCCCCATTTGTATATCTGCCTTCGCACTTCGGGTCGACAACATGAACACGACGTCTGTGGCCTTACTGGCCCTTGTACTTCTCTTCGTTGCATGCCTCGCGCATCTTTTACCTTACCTCACAGATCCACATGCCCTCCGCTCCTACCCAGGCCCTTGGTTAGCCAAGCTGTCGGACGTATGGCTCGGACGAGTAGCCGCTCAAGGCCACCGCTCTGAGGTTGTCCACCAGCTACACAAGCAGTACGGTGAGAAGTCTTCCCATCGAACCAGACGTCCGAGCTGAACGTGCATCGTCACACAGGGACCTTCGTCCGGTTGGCGCCAAACCACTTGTCCATCTGCGACCCGGATGGGATCCAGGACGTCTACGCGCACGGGAACGGCACGACGAAGTCGGACTTCTACGACGCGTTCGTGTCCATCACGCGCGGGCTCTTCAACACGCGCTCCCGCGCGGACCACACGCGCAAGCGCAAGGTCGTCGCGCACGTCTTCTCGCAGAAGAGCGTGCTCGAGTTCGAGCCGTACACACGCGTGCACGTCGCCGCGCTCTTCAGGCAGTGGGACCGGTTGTGCGGGCGCGGCGCGGAGGGCTTCGAGGGGAAGGAGGGCGAGGGCTGGCGACGCGAGGGAGGCCGTGTGTGGATGGATTGTCTGCCATGGTTCAACTACCTCGCGTTCGACATCATTGGTACGCATTCGCCGTCGACGTCGCTAGGGTAGCCGTATTGATGCGTGACCGTCTCCTTCAGGGGACCTAGCCTTCGGAGCACCGTTCGGCATGCTCCAAGCCTGCGCAGATACTGCACCGACTGTCCTATCCCAGGAGGCCGCAATGGCGTCATACGGTAGCTCAGGTAAGGATTCACCAGAGGTGACCTACTGCCCCGCCGTGCAGATTATAAACGAGCGTGGCGAGTACTCCGCGTCGATCGGCGTGCTGCCACCGCGCTGGCGACCGTGGCTCGTTCGGTTCGTCCCCTGGTACCGCCAAGGGGCCACCTCAGTGGAGTTGTTGGCGGGGATGGCGATCGCTGCGATCTCGAAGCGTCTGGCTGCGCCGACGGAGAGGACGGACTTGCTATCGAAGCTGCAGCAGGGGAAGGATGAGGAGGGGAGGCCGTTGGGTGCGAAGGAGCTTACAGCGGACGCCCTGACTCAGCTCATCGCTGGGTCAGATACAACGTCGAAGTGAGTATGTTCTCCTGCTCGAGTCGTTCTCTAGGTGCTCATCACCTCATCTCAAGCTCGTCGTGCGCGATAGCCTATCACCTGGCAGCCAACCCTGACGTCCAGGAGAAGTTACAGCGCGAGCTGGACGCAGCACTCGGCGGCGAGGATGATCCCGTCGTCACGTTCGAGCAAGTCAGACGTCTTCCGTACCTCGATGCGGTGATCAACGAGGGCATGCGAGTCCACTCGACCTCTGGAATCGGTCTGCCCCGCGAGGTGCCTACCGGGGGGTTGACGGTGTGCGGGCGGTTCTTCCCCGAAGGCACGGTCCTATCGGTGCCGACTTACACTGTCCACCGAAACGAGGACGTATGGGGAAGCGACGCGGACGTGTTTCGACCTGAACGCTGGCTGGAGCGGGATAAGAACGAGCTCCAGAAGGCCTTCAACCCGTTCTCGTTCGGACCGAGGTGCGTTGCGCTCGTGCGGTGTTGCAGCAATATTTCTGACTGAGCGCTGATGTAGGGGATGTATCGGCCGCAATTTGGCGAGTATGGAACTGTTTATCATCGTAGCTTCCGTATTCCGACGGTACCACTTCGTCTTGGAAGACACTAGCCAAAAGGTACGTGTATCCGGTGATGCGTTGCGATATGGACGGGGCACTCATGCTCTTGATAGTTGGATACCAAGGAGGGTTTCTTGCGGAAGCCTGTCAAGTGCAGGGTGGGGGTCAGGCGCAGAGCAACAGGGATCGGGATGTGACCAGTAAGACTGGTTGAACAAGTCTGACAGCTGCTATCGTTCTAAGTTACATCTAGCAGATTCATGTTGTTGATTGAGCGATCGACCTACCTAACAGTGAGTGCGGTGATGAATAGGAGCATCGAATGATAGACCGTGAAGACCTCGGCCGCGGAGACCCGATATTAGTCGATTCAAGAGGTGATGTACTAACGCAGAGTAGCATAGTAGATACATCTTACTAGGCTTGGCGATGGGGGTCTTTAGACCCGATCGCACATGTTTCTGCGCCTCCTGATCAAACATACTATGTAACATAGTGTTATACAACCACTGTAGTCCGACTCTTTCCTCCTCCTCAAGTGTGCTCGCGTCCTCCTCCTCCACCATTATTCAGGTGTCGTGGGAAGATTAGATCGCTACTGGCGCGGGCGCTTGGCTCCTCCTGACTATGATCAGGCGTGGCCACCTCGTAACTCAAGTTCAATCGTGCAGTTCTGTACTGTCATCTTCTACACACACTGGCACCTAAAGGCTCTTGAAGTGACCAACGAATCCCGACCGGGAAGATACATGAGCACTGTGTTATCGCCCATCGAAACCCCTACTACTTGTGAGCCAGTAGCACGATTAGCTCAAGCTGTGACGCCGCACAAACCTGTTGCAGCCGCAATCGAACTTTCCTCCAGCAAGACATCAGTGCGCTTACATTCTCAGCGCGCCGAGCTATGCAGCGAAGTAGGCTAGAGATGCATCTGGCAGATATTATGCGTATCACCAGCGCATTGTCTGACGCCAAGACGATAGACCTCTGCTTGCGATGGAAGTTGATTTCCTGGGAAACTTTGTGAGTGGTGGTTCCCTTTGGATGGCTGATTAAACAGCTCTATCTTTTGTGTTCGCAGCATCAAATCACGAGCCGCCCGGATTGAAGTATCGGCATCCCTGAAGCACCCGTCCCCGCTACGTGAGCTGATGAAATAGGAATGCGTACACTCCCTGAACATGCCTCAAAAGACGCGGAAATAAACGCTTCGCTGGAATGATCCTCAATACTTCACAGCGTTCGTCTTGGAGTCAAAGAGCACAGCGGGCGCACGCTGAGACATGGATGCACAGGACACACCTGTACCGTCCGACGTGCGGCGTAAAATAAAGCAGTGCTCTCTGGGAATGACTGGCCGAGTCAAGGCCGAGTGCAGTTCCGAGCATATCGCTACATTGTATTCGATGTTGCGCGGAGTGGAACGTCATTCAGTCTCATGCATCCTCGTAAGATGTTTGACCTATATAGACATTGTCACAGCTAGTTCTCGGAGGAGGACGCCTTTCGTACGACTCAGTTGATTTTGGCCGGCGAATACGAGCATACTCGCAGGCGATTCAAGGTATGATACGCCACTGCTTGAATAGTAATCTTGAAGCGGTTCCTGATACTGATGTCAAGGACAGACTCACACCAAGTCATCAATGATTCAGCCAAGCAACACGCCAAAGCTCTCTTTGTCTCTGCTCACGGTCTTTTAGGAGCTACGCCTGAGAGCTATGTCAGCGCTAAGTACTGACACCGAGAAGATTTACTCGACTCCTGATTTGCGGTACGTATCATTATAGTGTGCTTCATTGTATGCATGGTTAGAGATGCAGTTCTGACCCGCTTGTTGCATTCGATAGCTTACCTAGGTCCGTATGCAGCATGATGCCTCCCTCAGGAGCATGGGACTCACGGGCGCCAGTGATTTGATATCGATGCCCCGAAGACTCACTCCTCTCCATTAGTCGCGCTTCTTCTGTGAACGGGTGAATTGTATGGCATCCAGTGGTGATGACAGCGGCGTCGCTCTCCGAGGCCGCCGGGAGTCGCATCTCCGCTCAGAGCCTGTCGGGCACCCTTCGTGCATCATACCATCATACGCGCAATCAATGTTGGACAGTCGGATGGTCATTGCAGTGTGGCTCCGCCACGGCGATGCGTTCAGCTGGGCGCCAGCATCTCGTTGGCATCCCGAACCCTTACGGAACGGCGCTTCGTGCGCAAAGTTGGTTATAAGCGATGCAATGAAGCAACGGGAAATACTTCCTGGCGCTCCCAAGCCCCCGCGACGGCGATAAAATGTCCGTCTCTATCAGCGACATCGATTCATTGGAAGTATCCAAGTACCTTGCAGGCGAGGCACTTATTCGATGTTCCTGTGCTCCGTTGTCTGACGTCGTGATAGCACAGGTGCAGGAGTAACACTTGTTCTCTATGATCACCTCCTCAACTTACCGAGGGAGATCCAATACGTGTGGCAAGAACCGCCTCTCTTTCTGGCAATATGCGTGCTCGCCGACGTATATCTTAGGGAAGCCGGTCTCATGTATATTGCAGTCGGTGTGTCACACTTGTCTTGAGCTGTTCTGCGACGTGCTCAAGTACCTTGAACAGTATTGAGCGGGGTTGCTCCTATGGATAGGCATGTGAGTGTCGTTGCAGATTTTGAGAGTGGTCACTTATGTATACGCCGTTGAAATATCAGAAGTGAGACCTAAGGACGTACACGTCGCCTCGGATCCGCCCACTGACACCGGCGATCATGACAGGTGTGCTTCCTTCACCGTTTTCGCTGTCGTTTATGGTCTTTTCAGTAATGCATCAGTCCATTGTGAGTGAAGTTTGACGTTATTCTTGACTGCACTCACCGTTGTTCGGAAGCTTACATTCTCTTTCGATTGTACCGAATCTGGGACGACCGAAAGTTTGTCAAATATGTCCTTGGTGTAGCCTTCGTGATATGTATGGCTGGAACCATCGTATCTGACGGCTACGTCTTGAAGCAGCTCACCGGTATAGCAAGACAAATATGCTCAATGTGGATAGCTAACGAGTAAATACTCTTTTAGCGGAAGTGCAATACGTGCAGTTTCATGCCATAAATCAGGCCGCGACATGCGTATTCCCTAAGAAGTCTTGGTATCTTGTAGGCTCTTGGGCAGGCATGGTGAGTACTGGGATAATGGACAAACACATCCTAATCCTTTCACAGGTCGCATTCGATTTGATTGCACTTGCCATGGTCACCCTGAGCTCCCTGATGACCCCGCGTAGACCCAACACTGCCATTGTCGGTGTTCTATACAAACAGGGGTTCCTTACATTTTTGGTGCGTTAAAACGGAGTCCTTCGTTTTGCAAAATGCATAATCAAATTATGTCTAGGCGTTTCTGCGTAGGGTCCGTTCGCTACTTGTCTAGCAATTCATTGACCACCGTTCCCAGTTCTACGACTATCAAGATTACTGCCAACCATATTCGGATCGGTGAGCTTTTCGCGCCCACGCGCAGCATCAGTAACTGATGGATGTCCAGGCTGCGGACACGTTACTCATGCCACCGTGAGTAGTCCTATTCGCTTCGGCACTACATGCGCTATACACATGACTATCACTCAGGGTTACGTGGGCGCTAGACGGCGTTCTTAGCTTCCGACTCTTTCTGAAGATCAAGCAGGTCGAGCACAGTTCGAGGCGACACTGGTCAAAGTACGACGCGGGCCCGCGAACACGAGGCAACGGGAGTCTTGGTTCACAACCGACCATCCTTGTGTTCGAGGAGATCGAGATGGACAATAAATAGATTTCGGTGAACACTCGACGGAAAGACACGACGTTGGCACCACTACCTAGCATTACTTATCTATCTGAGATGTATGACACCGTTGATGTAGCACCAAATCGGCGCACGGCTGAATACTGTATTTATTGTTTTCAGTCAGTACTAGTATACTCTGCGTATTAGCGTACTTATCATGGGATGAGGAGCTGATGTACGGACCTATCATGACACCTTTGGACTGGCGGGGTAACAGAATGATGGGAGCGGGACCCTGAAACTGAGCATCCTGTTTGCAATGCTTCTTGACAGAACCATACACACGTTACCCATGGATGTGAGAACGTGACTGGCCGATACCCGTAGGAGAGAAATGTATGACGCGCTTACAGACCGGACGCGAAGTCCATGGGGATATCATGCCTGCGGAGAAGCCGCATCGTGACATGTGCCGGCCTATCGAACCGCCTGCACCTGAGAGCTTGGAGTTCTGCTTATCAGGTTACCTACTGCTGGGGCTACGGCGGGTCTAGTCTGCCGTACGATCAGTACGAAGTGCTAGCTTGCTCGGTAGATGCGCCGCCCAAGGTACAGTGAGCACTGCAGGAGACTAATAGCTATACATAGTGATGTGAACGAACGGAACACGGAATGCACATGCTTTGTGATCGCTCTCACCCGGATCCTAGCTAACCACAGCCATATAGCATCATCTTAAATGCGATGTCGGCGACGGCGTAGTAGGCAGGTCGCAACACATCGGCCGCTGTAATCATTAATCTATGCCCGGGGTGTCTGAAATCCGATACGTGATCTTTTCCGCGTGGACCTCATCGCACAGATGTCAGAATACGGCTGAACTCGGAGACAAGACAGTGAACGCTCATTACCTTCCCTGCTCCCATGTATTCAAACCCGTCATGGACGCTTTGCAGTCCGTTAGGGAACACTTTGACTGGAACGGGCTTGAGCTTCCCTTTCGCCAGGAGTGCTGAGATTAACTTCGCGTATTCCATGGCACTTTGACGATGCTCCTCTACAGCAGGATATGCGAAGGGGAAGGTCAACTCCTGTGCAACCGTGGAGATCTGAATAGGGATGTACTCGTGTCAAGGAGACGGCTGCTGCACTGACCTTCCCCAGAATAGTGTAAGCGAGAACCAGGTGCGTCTGAACACCTTTCGACCTGCTGACATAGGGCAGCAGAGTCGCAATGGTGCCGCCCTCCTTGCTCAGCGACGTGCTGACTTGGTTCGGCGTTCTATCTTGACTGAAACAGTCCATGGCGTGCCGAAGGGAACCGCGAGTACTGGCGAATATCTTCCTCGGGGTCTGAGAGTCGGCGTAGTCGTACACTTCGTCTGCCCCGAGAGCCTTGACGAGTTCGAAGTGCTTCGGCGACGCCGTCGCGATAACTCGCATACCACTCAGCTTCGCAAATTGAACGGCATACTGTCCGGTCGCAGAGGTGCCGGACCATATAAGCACGGAGCTCGACTCTTCAACGGGATGGTCGGGCGTAGGAAGTTTGAGACAATCGTAAAGGGCAAGACATGATGTGAAGCATGCTACGCCAAGTTGTGCCCCGTCTTCGAAAGACACTGAATCAGGGAGAGCGATGGCCAGGGCGGCTTGCATGACAACATATTCAGCAAATGCGCCGTTGGGAGCTATCCCTGGTATGCAAGCGGGAGATCAGGTTCCCGTTATACTACCGAGTACAGGCCAATACTCACCTCCCTGTACGCATCCAGCGACGCGTTCGCCTACGTGTCTCAACGTATCAGGAACCTCCGGTCCGAGCTCAACTACTGTGCCCGCGAAGTCACAGCCAAGTATATTGTTAGGCTTCTTGTGCAAAAGGGTGGTCTTCCCTGATTGTTAATCAGCAAAGTTGTGAATACGTTGGTTAAGGAAGATTTTTCATTACAGTCCACAGGGTTTTGAGCACTCGCGGTAATTTTGACCAAGATCTCACCCGCCGAAGCCTGAGGTATGGGTACGTCCTTCAGTGTGAATTGCCCGTTTTCCAAGGTCACGATCGCCTTCATGGTCTTGCCCCGGGAGTACGCTGTCATTGAAAGCAGCTCGAAATCAACTTAGAGACGAAGGCAGATACTGATGGCCTTGGATGTTCATCGCAGGAATGAATGTCACCACAATAGAGTTGCCGCTACTGGAGCGCCAGTGGAACCGCATTATGGCGGTGATAGTACTCGGTCACGGTGATACCGAGCTCGGGCTTGTCTGTGACAGGACTCGGAGCCTGAGGGCGCTTCAACATACACATTATTATGACTTCCATGATTACAGAGAACCATTCACTCACGTTCAACTTGGAGTAAGTCCTACCATATCTACTAGTAGTACTACTGTATCAAGTTACTGCAGTGGCCCTACAACCAGACCAGAGCACATCGCGACTGAGTACTGAGATCTGAGATCCAGAGCTGATTAGTAAGCGCTTAAGCCCCGACACGCGCCTGCCACCAGTGCCTCTTTGAGTCTTTCGACAACCGTCTTCTACAGTTCTACTTCGACTCGAACTGATTATTCCTGCCGCTCGGACGATATCAGCAGGATCGAACAGACAGGCCCTCAGATAGTAAATGCCGAGAATCGTAACCTTGGTGGTATCCCGCGTGCGTTACGATTCGGACTGAAGGCTTGAGCTCTTGTCACGTTTCAACTTGAACGCGCCGGCGTTGTGGACGACTCGATGATTGCACCGTTCCGTGTAATATGTAGTATGTTGTGAGCCTTTTTGCATGTTGCCCTATATAACTCATCGTGCATCGCAACAGTCATTATGCTGCAAGGGTCGAAATGGCTTATCCGAACCCCTCACTCGGAGGACTCGGCTTTCTCATCCCTCAACATAGACATATTGAAGATTGCCGTGATGTGAGCTATGCAGTGTGATCCGTTCATCTGCACTGATGCGACTTGGTGGATAAGGTTAAGAGGCGGAGCTACAAGCACATATATAGACTTGGGCAATCAAATGCAACAGAAGCTCTTCCGGACCCTGTCGTGTCTGTTCAGGCACGCGCCAGCATCAGAGTATATAGAAGCATAATCATCAAATCACAACTTGCACTTACCCATGACTTCAATCGCCATAGTGAGTCGGTCTGCCTTCGTTCCTTGCTTCGTATTCATGGGGCTCGCAGGTTGGCGTCTCAGTGGAGCTTCCCAGTGGGAAGTATTCGCCGAAGAATCTTGACCATGACACCTTCTTCAAGCTCTTGCTTGATAGGGCTGATGCATATGAACGCATGCCAGCGGAACGTTTCAATGCAAATGCGTACGTGTCATGTCATTGAATGTGCGACTTGAGCTCACTCGATGTCACCACCACGCAGATGGCTCGGAAACCATCTCGGAGCGATTCATGTTGATACGGGTGCCTTCCTGAAGGACATCAACATGTTCGACAATGTCGAGTTTGGAGTGTCAACTAGGGATGCACGTAGCATGGCTCCAGCAACAAGAAGACTCCTTGAGAACGCCTTCCTCGCTTTGCTCGACTCTGGCATTGATTATCGATCGCGGAACGTTGGCTGCTTTGCGTCAGCGACAGGATTCGACTTGTCGACCGTATCTGAACCGGCACGTCATGCTCATGTTCACGTGGATTTCATATTGACCCTTTCTCAGGATGAATACGACGAACGGGGTTCGTTTGCGGGATATCCGTCCATGGTAGCCAATCGGATTTCTACCCATCTCGATCTGCTCGGCCCATCTGTTCCGACCGATACGGCATGCAGCTCAACTTTAACCGCGTTCCATCTCGCGGTCCAGGCCATCTCACAGGGAGACTGCGAGGCTGCCGTTGTGGCTGGATGTCAGTTGAACCATCGGTGTGTAGTCCCAACCGACGTCCTGACACGTTGCTTAAACCGCCACAGCTTCATCGACTGGTTCACGTACAGTCAAGGTTCTCTCCTTGCCAAAGACGGGAAGTGCAAACCCTTCGATACATCTGCGGACGGGTATGTCGTGTTCCAATGCTCTTATCGCTCGTACTCAGAGTGTCTTCGCAGCTTCTCTAGGGGAGAAGGTTGTATAGCTATAGTGCTCAAACCACTTGAGCGTGCTCTCCAAGATCACGATCGCGTCTATGCCACGGTATGACTCTAGTCACGCATGCCTTATCCCGCCCTCATGTAACGAATAGGTTTTGGGCACATCGCTCAATTCGTCAGGAGGTGCTGCCCCTCCGGGCGCTCCAGTTGCGGACGCGCAGCGCGCGGCGATGATGCGAGCGTTTGCGCAGGCGAACAGGAATTTCAAAGATGTAGATTACGTTGAATTGCATGCAACCGGTGCGCACAGTCGTTACTCGGACCGAGCTGTCCACTAAATAGCACTACAGGTACAGCGAAAGGAGATCCTACGGAGGCGAACTGGGTCGGCGCGGAATGTTCGCGTGAAGACGAGCTGCTCATCGGCAGCGTCAAGAGCAACATTGGGCAAGTCTACATATTTTGTGTGGTACTACCTGGCAAAATCGAACTAACAGTGAACGCCAGACATACCGAAATTGTGGCTTTCCTGGCATCGTTGTGCAAAGTGATATCGATCTTCAAGACTGGGACCATACCTCCGGCTGTGAACCTGCGTACGCTGAACCCTGCAATCGAGTGGGAGAAGCACAAGCTTCGCGTTCCTTTGTGCGCCACGCAACTTCCATGCCGGAATGGGAAGAGACCGCTAGTGTCTATAGCCAGTTCAGGCATCGGCGGGTCGAACGGCCACGCTGTCTTGGAAGGACCTCCCCCAGCACCTACACTCGACGGTTCGGCAGTATCTGGTCCGGTGGTCTTGATGGCATGCGGACTCTCCTCGCGTAGCGCCACTTCCATAGGACAGTCGCTGCAAAGCTCGGCACTTGTGGATTTGCGTGCGCTATCAACGGCGTTAGGCCGACGTGCTAAGCAGATGTCCTGGAGGTCCTATGCTATCGTTGAGGAGGGCTCCAAAGGCGCCATCACATTCTCTGCCCCTCAGCATTGCCAGCGAACAAAACCTCTCGTCGTGTTTTTGTTCTCGGGTCAAGGCCCACAACACCCGGATAGTACGTTCATCGTATCCACTTAATCCCATGCCAGAACTCTGACGGTATCGTGCAGTGGGTCGCGAACTCTTCGACAGATTCCCTGTCTTCAGGGATAGTGTTCTCGAAATGGATGTTATTTTCGAGCGGCTGACGGGAAAGTCGATTATCAGGGACCACGGTCTCTTTTCGGGGACGTCCTGCGTTGCGGATGGAACCTGGCCAATTTCACTCATTCTGCCTTCCATCGCTGTATTTCAAATGGCGCTCTTTGACTTGCTCATACACCTGGGAGTTAGACCCGACGTTGTTCTCGGACACTCTGCCGGTGAAACGTCGGTTCTCTACGCCTCAGGCGCAGCTCCGAAGGCGATGGCCGTAGAGCTAGCGATCCTGCGAGGACGAACATTCTCATCAATGGAAGATCTGGGCGGTACAATGGCGGCTGTGTCGTGTATGCCGGAAGAGGCCGAGCTGCTCCTAAATCAAGTTCGCCGGGAAGACGACAGGAGCATCATTGACATAGCCTGCTACAATTCTCCGTCTGCGGTTGCCATCTCTGGGCATGCAGTAGCAATAGATCAGTTCTTGGAGCTAGCACTCGTCCGTGGCTACTTCTGTCGCAAAATCAGGACCCGAGTACCAATCCATTCGTCCATGATGGACCGGTGTCGCGACGAATATGTCCAGGCGCTTCGTGACCTGTTCGGCCGCTACCCAGGCTGCCATGTACCGAGCGTTACGACATATTCTACATTGACTGGCGCTCGGTTTGAAGGCCCCTACGACGCCGAATACTTCTGGAAGAACACGCGGAACCCTGTCCTGTTCACACACACAATCCAGGAGCTTGCTCGTGCGCATTCCACGACAACCATTGAGATCTCTCCACATCCTGTTTTGTCGTCCTACATCTCGCAGATCACCCAAGGCGCCAGTGCGGTCTTCCCGTCGACCCACAGACGGAAGCAAGGCCGTCCATCTACGGAACATCGCGATCTGTTGGAACTATGCGGACAACTTACTTCCGCGGGTCACAATAGTGTCAACTTCACGGTGCTCAATGGACGCGCGTGTTACGAGTTGAGCACTCCGTTGCCGGAGTATCCCTTTGTACGAAAAGCATTTCCTCTATACCCCGATACTTCCGAGTGTGTGAAGCAAATGCAGCCACACAACGGACCGCTGAATCATGATTACCTCAAAGTGAATAAGGATACACATCCGACGCTGGCGGAGCATGTCATCAGAGGAGAGCCAATCATGCCTGCTGCCGGTTTTATTGAGATGGTCTGTGAACATCGGTGCTATGACCGTTCGTGCTGCTGATCTGGTTTTTATCCCAGGCACTGGAATATGGGGCTACGACCTTGATGAATGTGGACATGCGAAGCATCCTGTCCTTGTCGTCCGAGAGGCCCATGAAGGTTGATATCTCCCGCGATGGCTTCCTTTGGGCTGTGAAGACTTCGATTTCGTCCAGTCATGCCGCTTCGGCGCCGGTACGTCGTTTCCGCAGGCTCTGCGAGGTGTTGCATGCGATTCATGTATCCTGTACCAGACCGAACGGACACACGCGAGCGGATACCTGTCATTTGAACCACCGACGCCCCAGACTCCGTTAGACATTCCCGCCATACGTCAACGATGCGAAGGGTATACTGGATCCTGTGAGTAAGTGCTGCTGGCAACCGCATGTATCACGGCTGAGAAGGCGATCATAGCGTTCTATCATTCACTTGCGTACTTCTCTGCGTACGGTGCGTGCTTCCGTAGAGTCACGGAAGTCTTTTATGGCTATCACGAGGCCTTGGTATCGATCAAGGGTATGGACGATGCGTTAGAGCGGTATGCTGCTGTTCTTTCCCCAGTATCAATGCCGCCGCTGAACATATGTTAGTGATGGACGTTATTTGCTGCATCCGGCCATTCTGGACGCCTGCCTGCACATCACCTCTTATAGGCCATTTCATGGGGACCATGGCCCGAACAACTACTACTTGCCCGCGCACGTCGACGCTGTCATTCTTCATTGCCCTCCTCGGGCTCACTTCTTCCCCGAGCATATCTATACGCACACCGTTCTGAAGAAATGGACACCTTGTCAGTACTGCCCGCTTCTATATGATGATCCTAAATGACGAACAGTTTGCATCAGCGTCCGTGTTCTATGATATCATCATTGCGGATGATGCTGGCACACCCTTATGCACGTTAGAAGGACTCGAGGTTGCGAAACATCAATTTAACCCACCACCAGAAGATCTGATACCATATGATGTCGGGCTACAACGATCTGTCCTACCTTTGCTGTCGGATACTAGAGACAAAGTCAATGGGCACAAGCTTGATCAATTTAACGGGAATGCAGCCTCCACTAAGGTTCGTACCTTACGTGACCTCTATATCTCCGCACTGAGTTTTGCAGCAGCAGCACGAGGATCAATGCGCAGATGCCGTGATTGACCACATCAGTGCATTACGGGAAGTTGTAGAGCAGGTCTCAAGACAGAGCAGCAGAAGTGTTGTTCGCCTCCTCGCCCACGGGACTGGTGCGTCCTACGAGCATCGAACCTATGTTAAGGCGAACTGACCGTGCGGCCAGAGTTCCCACGTACCGACCATTTCACCCACTTACTCGATGGATTCCCTCTGCTCTTATTTGATATCTCCGCGCAACCTGATCTGCGAGCTTCCCAGGACGTGAGCCCACGGCGAGGAACTGTCAGGACCTCAAACATCGATCTTGCCAACCTTGGGAGCAATCACCCTGCGTACTTCGATATCATATCTACGTTCCTTCCCGAGGGCGATCCGTATGTCGCGCAGCTGAGCCGTATACTCGTCCCTGGTGGTTTATTGGTCCTCACGACGCGGTCAGACCTACCGGTTGTGAACGGTCACAAGGCGCATGGGATCGAACGACTTTCTCAAGCGCTACATGATGCGGGATTAACAATTCGGCGAACGCTGATCGCACCAGGTGGATCATCTCCGACCTTTACCGCTTGGTGCCAAAGGACCGAGAGTTCCGCAGACGGCGTACCGGCACCACCTGTGTTCGATCCCGACGAAGCGTTCGTATTCCACTATGCCCAAGGGCATGAGATGGACCTGCAGTGGGACTTCAGTGGTCTGGACCCTGTGGACGCCTTGGACGTTTGGGTTCTCGTCGCCGAAGGTCGTGATGGGGGTGCCGCACTCGGGCTTGTCCGGGCTCTGCGACTGGAGTATCTGTCATGGACAATCCACGTCGTTGTGTTCCCCCCTGACTCTTCTTATGGCGACGAGGCCTCGCGAGAAGAGTATCTGCAAACGATCCCAGCGCACATGCGCGAGGAGCTGGATATATTCGTGACTCAGGAAGGCGGTGTTTTAGTTCCTAGAATGATGCCTCTGCCTGAGCGGACTGCTCCAGGTGGGCAGATAGCTGACCAGATGGATCCTGGCGTGGAATGCGAAGGCAGCATCCTTCTCGAGGTGCAGGGCGTATCTGGTAGCGCTATAGTCAAGGGTGTTCTCGGGTTGGAAATGAACAGAAGCAACTCGTGGACAAGCACAAACCCCAACAATGGACCCGTCGTCGCCATTGCCCAAGGTCCAGTGGGAAAGTATGTCACCGTTCGCAGAGAGGCCACTTCCCGCCTCTCTCCGCGTTTGAATCGACATTCGACCATGATAATGCAGTGCATACCAAGCGTCGTAGCTGGCATCCTTGCGCAAGGCACGCACACGTTCTCCAACGACAAGAGGTGCCGAGGTCTCCGAGTGCTCGTCACGCATTCAGATACCGCCACCGGCATGACAGTCATCTGGATGTACCGCAGGCAGGGCATAACTGTTGTCGGGCTTCCGGCGGACGCGACGCCCTGCATCTGTCCTCCGCTCTTCGCAGTGGATTCAACCTGGTCGTGTCCGGATACACGGATCCTTCTTATATTCAACTCCTCAGGTCTGCGTCGTGCCCGAAAGGCGGGAAGATGTATTTCTGGACGACCCGCACGAGGGATTAGCTTGGGCACTGCGGAACGACCTGTGGTCAGTACAGGATGCACTAGAGCTCGCGCTCACCTTCCTAGAGGAGCGTATGGATGACTTGGAGGAGAGTCTGCGTAGTTGTCCAGCTGAGCATCATAGCGTGCTCGAGTGCCTGACATCGCCATAGCGACCGTTGAGCCGCGGACGGCAACCTTCAGCCCGCACAAGACCTACCTCGTCCTGGGTGGCATCGGAACCTGGGGGCGCACGTCGCCTGGATGTTATACAGAGTGAGTGTCATCCGATGGTTCGACGCATGCTCACCTCATCCCAGCACGGCGCTCGACGCCTCGTGTCACGTCCCGTCGGGCGCAGCCAGCCTGCAGACGACGTCCAACCGTCTCGTCCGGCGCACATTCGGTACCTGCGGTCCCTCCCTGACCTAGACCTGCGTCTCTCAGCAACCAACGCTTCCGACATCGAGAGTATGGCTGAGCTGCTCCGCGGGATCCCAGAGGAGGCACCGCTTGCGGGGTGCATAGTCCTCACGGCCGCACTGTCCGACCGAACGTTTGCACGGCTCGAGGAGGCAGACTTCGCAAGCGTATACGAGTCGAAGATTGGTGTGGTTGACACGCTCCGTGAGTGCGTCGATGTCGGGGCATTGGAGTTCCTCGTCCGTTCTCATCCGTGGCGGGCCTCTTTGGAAATGGAGGGCAGACGAACTACTGCGCGTGAGTGGCTACAATAGGGTAACAAAAACTGATCAGGACTGACAAGTATGATGTTAGAGCCAACACGGCGATGGAGGAGCAGGTCTCTGCGTATCCGAACGCATTCGCCTTCGTCTGTCCGGGGATCATCGACTCCACGATGATGCGCTCGAGCGAACTGGGCGAGTCAGGCAAAGTCGCACAGCTTGAGCAGTTCGCCCAGTGGGGCATCACGGCGGAAGGTGCGTCCACACATCTGCATATCGCGCCCGACGTCACTCATGGCTCAAACTTACACAGACATGATCCTGTGGCTGGAAGACGCCCTCGCTCGCTTCCAAGCCGGCGAGCGGTTCGCGCGGTATGTACCGACAGTCGACTGGTACGCGCTCGAGCGCACGCGGGGCATGCCCCTTCTCGGACGACACCTTCTATCTACTCCGCTGACGCGGTCGGGCTCGTCAGCCGCGGCCCCGGGGCGAATGGTGGGGGCGGCAGACGAGGGAGGCGACGTGGGCATACGGATGGCGGCGATCGTACGCGGGGTGCTGGGCGTCGCCGCGGAGGACTTCTCGCCGGAGACGCCGTTCACGGCGTATGGCGTCGACTCGCTGTCCGCAGCGCGGCTCGCATTCATGCTGCGCCCGTTGGTGGAGGTGACGCAGCTGCAGCTGTTGGCGGACATGTCGTTGGAAGGGCTGGAGGTGCTTGCGGGGAAGGGGAAGAAGGAGGAAGGGGTATAGCGAAGTGGGGGCGTGCGTTGCAGAGCTGTTTCTTAATCTGTGAGTACATTCGGGTGACTGGCGAGACTGGCAACCTCAAATTATCGTCTTTCTAGCCCACCATTGTTTCTACACTTGACCCAAGCATCTGTGGATCTGAAGGCCAGAATATTGTACTATTTAGCTGTGGAGGCTTTTTGTAAAACCCGCCGAACTGCCACTTGCTCGAATTCTCTGCTGTGTATCTCGAATCTGCTACTAGTGCTAGGGGAACCGTTCTCGCGCGACCGCGGCACGCACTGACATCATAATGTAGCAGGCAGTGCAGGGTATATTCAATGAGGCCATCGGCGCTACGTATGACAGACTTGGCTGGTCGGTCGGGCAACTGCATCGAGGAGCGGTCCGTGATGCCGCATCTGTGAGTGGCCAAATGTGCAAGAAACTCGGTGCAGCCTCGCTATACACCATCAAGCCCATCATCATCTGGCGGGCGCAGAGACGTTGC